ATTAATTGCGCAGAGAGTTGCGTCAGGTTGGGTGGGGTGCCCAGCTTACTGATCTGCCCAGCTTACTGATCCCGCACGTTAATAGAAATCGTATATTTAGTTATGCTAATAACGGGAATCTCCAGGATGGCATGTCAAGGCTTGGAAGGACAACACGCTCAGACATTTGCAAAATAGCGTCCACTTACCTATCTATACCCGCAAGTAAAGCAGTATGTAGGTTAGTGATTTTCTCGTTCTCGAATGAAGCGATTCGTAGACGATAGCGATAATGTGATGTAAGCAGTTGAGGGTGTAGGAAGTATTGTGTATTGTGTAGTACATGATGCTAAGAGCAAGTTTAAATACAGTGTTATTAGTCAGTGAGTAACCACGTGACTATACATGGTACTTCTGGGCTTACACACCTCCCTCAGATTCGAACGCAGGTTGAAGCTGATGTGATCATAGGCCACCCCCTACTCTACAGAGTAGGGCTGCTTGCAAGAGTGCGGTGGGTAGCCGCTTGTATTGGAGCAGTGCCAGGTGGGGATCGTCCGCCGTCGCGGTGTAGGTGGACCTCGCTCTGTACTATGGGCGTCCCCAGTAGTCGGACGTCTCCTAGAGCTAGCACTGAGGTCCTGACTGCTTCTTGTTCTTGTATGGAGTTCAGTAGTGTGCCTTAATATTATTAAAAGAAAGAGCTTTGTAAGCGTACAGCCTCGTTAAACCTGTAAAAACCATATAGGAAAAACCAGGAAGAGTACTGCACTATATAGCTTATACTTGTGTAGTAGGAAATATATTAAAATGTAAAAGTGATACCCAATTTTCGTGTCTCTGACGAGGCAGTAGCTTGGTAAGTCCATCAGCGGGTTGAACGCTGGTTGGTATATATGTAAGGTTGAAGTTGTGGGCTTGTGCTTCTTGACGAAGCCAGTGATGGTGTATATCGACGTGCCTAAGCGACGTTTTAAGTCGTGGTGTAGCTGCTGTAATCAGCCGTATTGTCTGTTGGTTGTCGCAATACAGTATCTGCTCATTGCCTAGATCAAATTCAATCTCCTTGAATAGTCTCCACCACCATAGCAGCTCTGTGCCTGCAGACGAGGCGGCGATCAGTTCAGCTTCAGTGGTTGATTTTGTGACACATCGTTGCAGTGTCGCCTTCCAGTCGATCGGGCCGCCAAACAAGAAGAAGATGTAGCCTTGCGAGCTCTTCCTTGTGGCCTTATGGTCGGCGTACGAGGCATCTGTGGCGCCATAGAAGTCTGGTTCTTGATAATCTTCGATATGTGCTGTGTCGGTGGAGATGGAGGCATTGTAGTGCAGCGCTCGATCCTTCGTAGAGTATAGATAGCTGAGCGTTTGATAGGCAGCATTGATATGCTGTTGTGAAGGGTTGGTGAGGAATTCAGCCAGCTTTGAGTGCGCTTTTGATACATCAGGTCGTGTGGCAGTTGCAACGTAGCCAATTGATCCGACTAGCTGCGCGTATCTGTGTATATTTGCGTCATTTCTTGGCTGGTCTGAAGGGAGTAGTTCCTCTAGAGGGAGAGGAGTGGCTGGAGGCCGCTTGAACGACTTTGGTGATGGATATTTGACGCTGAGCTTGTCAAGATACGCTGACTGTGATAGCCAGATAGATCCGGTTGATCTGTTGCGGTGTGTTTGTATTCCACAGAAGGTGGATAGTTCTCCAAGCGACCGGATCTCATATCGACGTAGTAGCTTACGTTCAAAGTTGTCAAGTGCTGCTGTATGGGCTGGACGCGCGAGTACAACTATATCATCAACATAAAAGAAGACGATAAGCTTTTCATTTCGCCAAAGGCAAGGTGCCTCTTTGACTTCTTGAAGACCTAGTTCTTTAAGTGTCTTTGTGAGCTCTTTATACCACAGTAGTGGTGAGGCCTTAAGCCCATAGAGAGCTCTGCGTAGTTCCCACAGATGCTCGGCATCAAAGAAGCCTTCTGGTGGGTAACAGTAAACAGGTGTATTGAGTTGAGCATTGGTAAATGCGTTGACTGCGTCGTATTGACGTATTTCAAGGTTGAAGTATGCTGCGATAGCCATAAGTCCTCGAAAGATGCGTGTAGCTAGAGTTGCAGCGTACGTGTCTTCAGCTATAGCTTGAAGATCACCTCGAACACAGACTCTGGCTTTGTATTTGACTAGATATCCCTCATTATCAAGCTTATATTTGAACACCCATATCAGCGGCAGGACTTCAGTGTCTTAGCTATTAAAATCCTTCCACAAGACAGTGCTATAGGTATCTTTACGCTTAATGTCTGAGATCTCACGTTGCATTGCTGCTATAAAGCCTTGCTTATGTACGGCAGGGAGCTTCATAACGTCTTGATAGAAACGTGGCTCAGGAGGTAGCGTTGAGTGGTGAAATCGTGTTTTTAGAGCTATGATAGATGCTGCCACAAACGTGGACCAGTATTTATGGACGAAGAAGCTGCTGCTTTTGCGTGTGGGCTTCCTAGATCTTGCTGCCCCTTCTGGCAGTATGTGTGAATGGCGTAGATTGCCATCAATAAGTTCGCGATTTGCCACAGCATTTGTGTCCACTGATTATTCTATTAAGTCGCGTCGCTTTCGTTTTCTTGATGTGCGAGTAGATGGCTGTGTTTCTGGAGTAGGTGTAGACCTGTGGCTAGCTGTAGCTGGTGAGACTTGGTGATATTCTAAGTGATTGTCTGGATCTGGAGTAGCTGTCACAGCTGGTGTAGGCAGAGATCGGTGTCCTGCGTCGTAATCCTCATAAGGTTTTTCAGTGCTTTGTGTAGAAAAAGTTGGTATATCTGCATCCTGACTAGCTGCTGTTGTAGCACTTTCGTCCTCTTCTTCAGAAGACTCTTCTAGATTCTGCAGTGGTGTCATATAGATAGTATGTATAATCTCTTGTATCTCTTCGCCTTGTAGTAGTGGATCTTGACTATCGAATGCTTGGTAGAACATGTCCTCCCTGAACGTCACATCGCGTGTACGGATGACTTTGCCCTGATGCGCTTTGCTCTTTGCTTTTGGTATCCAGATTCTGTATATATTTGATGCATCATAGCCAACAAGGTAGCCTATGAGGGCGCGAGGAGTGAGCTTATCACCTCGCGGTATCTGCGTGCGTAGTGCGTATGCTCGGCAGCCATATATTTTGAGATGGGCTATTGACGGCTTCTTATAGTACACCATTTCAAATGGTGTTTTCCAGCTAATTGATCGTGTAGGCGTACGGTTAAGTAGGTAGCCTGCAGTGACGTACGTCTCTGGAGCAAGATGGAGTGGTAGTTTTGACGTGCTTAGCATGGATCGTGAGCAGTCAATTAGAGTCTTGCCTGATCTTTCTGCAGAGCCGTTCTGCTCTTTCGTATGTGGAGCTCTGATCTAGAATCTGATTCCTTCTTGCTAACAGTACGCACGCGCTGAGTCGTCTGTCAGTCCATAGCCTCGTTCGTCATCGGCTATTATAAATGTGACAGTAGTATTAAACTCTCGTTTGATCGTACGATCTAGGCGAGTGATTACTTCAAGTAGAGTCTCCTTATCACGTTTGGGAATCGAGTATACGAAGTTGAATTTCGTGTACAGATCAAAGGCATGGAATATGTATCGATGCCCATTGTAGCCTATGACATCGAGCTTGATGATATCAATCGCCACTGTCTCAAATAGGCGAGACGCGCCAGTCTCATGTCCCATACGACGAGATATAATCTGATGAGCTTTATTCTGTGAGCATGCTTCGCAGTCGATTGTACGTGGTGCAAGGCCTGTAGGTGGTTGCTGGATGCCCTGAACGTTTTCTGCTAGATGATCGATAGCATCACTGCCTGCATGAGCCATAAGGACATGGAGCTGAGGCTTGGTGAGCACTCGAGGTTTGAGAGGTTGGGCTGAATATTGAGGCCTGCGTTGATTGGCTGCAAAAGCTGCATATTGAGCAGATTGGATTGGTGGAGGCTGGGTGCGATGCACGACTAGCCAATGGCCTCCTAATCGGGTAAGGCTTGCAACATCCTCGCGAGCATCTTTGACAGCTCTATACAGGACGTTTCTTCCTGAGTCAAAGTGGATATTTGATGAGGAGAGGCGGGATAGCGAGACAAGGCTGGTGAAAAAGGATTGGATCAGAGCCACGCGCTTAAGCGTCGTTGTCTTGATACCACTTAGTGTTGATAGAGGCAGCTTGACTTCACCCCATGCCTCAATTTTCGTCTCAGTTCCTCCTGCGAGTACGACGTCGTCGTCAGCTGCTGGAGCTTTCCACTTAAACTCTGCAGGGTTGTTGCAGATGTGAATATCGGTGGCTGGATCCAGCGTCCATGAGTGGGCAAGTGGATATTGTTGAGCTACTCTCTGGTTGTTGAACGCGGAAAAGAAGACGGCATATGCTTCGTGCTGCAGGGAATGTTCAGCTAGTGGGTCTCCTGCGTCAATTTCTATCGAATCAGAGTCCGATGCTTTACTCTGCTTGCTGCCGTCCCTGGTCTTATACTTCTTAAAGCGTCGATTCTTTTCCCGAATCTTGCTTAGTACTCCACGACTATCCTTAGTCTCAAAGTCAGCAATCTTCTTGGCTTTTTCAGGGTCTACGACGAATCCTCGTTGCTGGAGTGCTGTATCGATGTATGGACATTGGCCCCAGAAATGACTGTCGCCACAGAGGCAGGGCTTTGCTGGCTTATTCTCACTGTCTCTTGATCGTTTCTTGTTATTGTATGGAGATGGCTGGCCATTCATCGTTACTCCAAAGGCACCTCCATGGATATTTGCCTTTCTTGAGTAGGTTGTACGATGGTAGCGCAGGTATTCTGCAAGAACGGTAGATAACTGAGATTGATGAGGTATTGGCTTGCTGCGATCTGTGTTCCAGTCCTCCTCGGCTTTGAATATATCAAGTGAAGCACTAGCGGCGTATGCAGCGTCAATTTGCTTGATAGCTCGGATAAGGTCCTTGTGTGCCCTAAACCCGTGTACTTCAGGTAGATTAAGTTGTTTTGCTCTACTGTATGCTGTAAGAAACTCGTTGCACCAGTCTTCAACATTTGATCGTCGAGCATGTAGGACCTTGGCTGCTTCGTAGTCCTTCTGCACTCTATATTCCATATCGGACGTAGTGGGAGAGAAGAGTTCTTGTAGTGTCTTGATCTGATCGTGGACTGTTGCCTTGTCTTTGATATGATACAGTAGTTCCTGTTGTATAGTCTTAGTGATATGCGCTTCTACTTGGCCTAACTTATCTCGAAGACGTCTGTATTCTTTGATTTCTTTGTAGTAGCTACTGCGATCCTGGTTGTACTGCAGTAAGTCTTGCTGAGACGGTAGAGTTGCAGGTGATCCGTCGACATTGGTAACAGGCTCTGGCCTAGTAGGCTGAACAGGCTTTTGCAGAGGATTGGCTGGTTTATTGGGATCAATATATTCCCATACGTCTCCTGCTTCGGCAATACGCTTGACGATAAAGATCCAAAGCTCCCAGTTGCTCTGTCCTTGAAGGATGATATCCGAACAAACAGTGTGCGTCGACATGATAGTATAGGTAGGTAGGTAGTCAACTAATTGAGAAAATATGCGGATTAGGCCGGGCTCATAACTGTAAGCAGTTGAGGGTGTAGGAAGTATTGTGTATTGTGTAGTACATGATGCTAAGAGCAAGTTTAAATACAGTGTTATTAGTCAGTGAGTAACCACGTGACTATACATGGTACTTCTGGGCTTACATGTGATAAGCTATATATTTCAACTTTAGGTAAGCTAGATGTGCTACACGAGATTGATTCTTTCGTAAAGTAATAATGGAAGCTCCGGATACTGGGTAAGTGCCAAGGCACCAATAAGCAGGCCTCAATTTCCTGGCTAGACCCAACAGGGGGATTTAGCTGCTTTGTTCTCCGTTTACTGTTTTAGGCCGTTTCGCGTTTGCGTTTTAAGGCCTTTGTAGGTTAGGACTCCGACTATTGTTAGTACTATGTAGTTAGCGTTGTGGCTGGGAGTAACCAAATAGCCTCTTACGTAGCTAGATGCTCCTTTTTTGCTCGTCTTAGCAACCCATCCTACAACATGACGGCTACGTGACCGCTCCTTAACGAGAATCTAGTCATAAGATGAAGCTCAGCTCCTATGTTTTCTATCTTGATGTTGATAAAGCCAGTCAGCCCCTTGTATTGGAGCTCTAAACCTGGAAAGGCGAATAAACGGAAACGAGAACCAGAGAATCGAATCAGCCTAAATTAGTTCGCATTTCTTCATACCCGAAAACCCTCTAGTGACTAATCCTAATATAAAACCAAAGCCGTAATTACTATGAAAGCTTAGTTTTAACAAGCACGGTGTCGTGCAAGGATGAATGTAAACAAGGCGGTGAGTGTTAATAGCGCGTTCCACTTTAGCAAGCAACCATATCAGTTTCTCTATAGCTGCTCTTCCCTTCATTCATCATGTCAGGCTTGTTGTCTTGACCTGCTTCTCACCACCAGTTTCCTGTCCGGGAGACAAGTCCCTTGTTACACTTCCATGGCCATGTTCTGCAGCTATCGTCTCTGCTACTGGTTTTCCACCTAATTCACCCTTGGTTTGCATCGGCATTGTTGGCTCAGTACCCTCGGATCGCCGGTATACAGGGATGAATGCATCGTAATATCGAGGCATCACCAAGCCGAACAGGATGACTATAATAGTCAGGATAGATAATATAAACCCAGCAATCATCATGGGATCATAGCGAAGAGTATGAAACTCTGGGAAGGCAAAGGAGAGTATGATGGCGAGGACAGGGCCGCTAAGGTAACGGAGCAGGACAGGCATGAATGCAGGAATCTTCCAGTTCTTGCCCCGCCCAACGATCACATTCAAATCACGGCGTAGTTGATTGCCCTAGATGCCGAGTCAGTTTCTTGAAGAAAAAAGTGCCACATTTCCATCAAGTACTTACTGAATAAAATGCAAGATACCAAAATTTTCTAAAAAGAGCAGTGCCGTTCCAGAATGAAGGCGCACCTACGTCAGGATTTCGTGCTATTATGACAGCAACAATAGCCATAAAACAGTAGAAACCAAAACCTGCACCCGCTCCAATACCTGGACTACTGATGCCATGGGCTAAGCTGATGCCAAGCACCTGAGCACCAAGAAAGCCTACATTGTAGACCACGAAAGCAGGAAGTCCAGTTTGGTGAACGATGTCTTTCCATCGATATACAGTAGTAGCACTGGAGACTTCGCTCCATACAACGAAAATGAGGGCAACGTTGTTCACCCATCGATCAATGCCATCTAGCAGATAGTATCCAAACTCAGTACAGTATGGTAGGCACCTATACGTCGAGAAGGTAGGTTAGTAAGCATTCATGAGATATGGCTGATGTGGGAGAAAAGATTTCTCCCTGGGTGAAAACAGCAAGGAGGTATACTTACATTAGAAAGCAAAGAATAGTAAGTGCGGTGACGACAACAGGTCGTGACGCCTTGACCATACCAGAGTCGCAAATAAGAGTGACTACAACATCCAGCATAACAAAGGCCGAACTGAATCCAAGAACCACAAGTGTGAAGAATGATAGTACTGCCCAGAAATTAGCTCCAGGCATTTGAAGTACAGCTTCAGGCAAGGTGAGAAATCCGACAACAAATGCGCCGAGTCTCTCGCCGTCCTGTGGCCATCTGCGGAGGAAGCCAACAACGCCAAAGATGGCGAACGCGGCAAAATTCTCGAATAGAACGTTACTGCCGCAGATGAGACATGCGTCCATGACAGCATTGGAGTGTTTGGTGTTGTAGCTGGCGTACGAAGTGAAGTATCCAAACCCTATGCCAGTCGAAAAGAAAACTTGGCCAACGGCTGTTTGCCAGACAACACCCGAAGCAAGCTGATCGCTCCTCCATGTCCTCCACACAAGGTCAACGCCTTCTCTTGCATTTTCGAGTGATAATGCTCTTCCGACAAAGATGATGGTAGTAACAACCGGCAATCCCATGGTGAAGTAGACGACTCGCCCTGTCATTCCAACACCACGGAAGATGGAAATCCAGATGAGGAACCAAACGAAAATACTCCATCCGACTGTTTCGCCAATAAGCGCTCCATTGGGGTAGGTCGTGAACCGGGCTACTGAATTCCCATCAGCGCTCAAGCTTCCTTCGTTGATCTCCCCGCGTTGAAGTACGTCTTGGTAGTAGAATTCTTCGATCCGATTTTCCCATGGCAAGGGGCTAGTGAAGCTGTGTCGGAAGTACTGCATGATCCATGCTAAGTTGACAGTGAAATATTGCACAACGAGGAAGCTGACAATGACCGGCCCCATACCTACACCCTTCAGCCGGCGATGTACATTATTGACTAGAGGTGGTGGAATATGTCAGCCTACATCCTGTACACGACACTCGCGGTATAGTCTTACATGCGATGACGGTTCCTCCGCGGTATGCTTGTCCAATCGAGACCTCTAAGATTAGTGCAGGAATGGCAATGAGAAACACAGCCAAGAGATATGGGATGAACCACTGGAGTCCATAGTTGTTATACAAAACACTGGGATATCTGAGCAGATTTCCTTGTCCGGCACAGCCACCCATCGCAGCAAGTAGGAAGGCTGCTCGTGACGGCCATTGGTCACGGCCGTCCTCGCTCTTCGTAGCAGGAGGCGCGATATAGTCGCCGATCTTTCGCAAGGTTTGCGTGGCCATATTGCAGAGCGGCCTGCTGTATACTGAGACGATTGGATAAGTGGTTGCCCCTCATGAAACGATATATCACTAGGTTTTGATCGCAATGGTTGTAGTGTTCATATCTTCGAACTTTTGAACAGTAGTGGATTTCATCGGTCTCACTGCAGCGGAGTGGGTCAGTTTTGTATCTTGCCCAGGGCGTGGACCCCACTACGCCTGCCAAGACGTAATACTAGAGCTCCTGATAGGCATCCAGTGGATCACTCGGTTCAGTTCGTCTGGCCCAAGGCATGCGAGGTGCCAAGAATCCCATGTGTAGGTTCAAACTGTTGAACGGACCTATTGTATTCTGTCATAGGAATGCCGTTTGCAACACCACAGACGATTTTTACCAGGCAAAATAAGCTCTTTCTGCATGATGGATCCATGTGGCGGTAACTATCATACGATTCCTTAGATGGACACCTTTCTGTGGTAGTTGCGTGGAGGCTATCGTGGGTCGCCAAGCTTCCGCTGGGAGAAGTGGATCACCGTCTGTCGGCTACTTTCGTGGCGTACGTCACACGGGATGGTTGCAATGTTTCCAACAAATCATGGCGCACTTTGTTGCCGTCTTCCGGGTTGCCAATGCTTAGCTGCAATCGCCATTGACACATTACCATCACCCTTGTTCTTTGCTGAATTTTTATCCGCCATACTGTATATACGAGAAAATAGGTGCTAGCCAAATGCGACCTGAGGAATGGAAAGACTATGTTGTTACATGAGAATTGTGGCGCACGTACGCAGGCTGGCGATTCGCTGGTACATCGCCCCGGTGGCCGTGTACGTCGAACCGTACCAACCTCTCTTCTCGCGAAAAAGGCTAATAAACAGCTATGTGATTGTAAGCCAGTCACACTGTCCTCGGGAGTCACTCATCAACATCATCAACCATTATTTTCTTCTGTACTCGAGCTCGCACTATGCAAAGGCTGCTTTTTGTACTCTAAAATCCCCCCCTGGAAGTTCAACTCCATCCCGTAGTTCTTAAGTCAGCCTATTCAGACCTAACAAGAATCCCCAATGATCATGTAAAATTCACAGAAATTTCTTACCACACTCCACATGTAACATGGGACGAATGTATGCGCTACAGATCAGTCTCAGCCTTGGTATGCATATGTGCCCGGGCTGCGGACTCGCACACGCGGTACACTTGGTGGCTTATCATGGCGGAAGTTTACGAGACTTGAAATCGTTCCAAAACGATGACAAAAAAAAGAACTTTCTCTATCGGGGCCAGATACAGCATAATACAAATGAATTTTATCGTGAGATCATTCTGAAGAAACTGGATCGATGATCAACAACGGCGAATAGATTTAGCTCTTCCCATCCGCTGATCCCGCATCGACCTATACATCTTTCATCGTCGGCTTCATTCTTACTTTTAGTATGTAGATCAATGTTCAGATGTACGATTTACACTGCGCAGGCGAAACTGCTTGAGATATTTGCAATACGACATGGGTGTTTGAATCTTGCTACATAGGTACATACCTAGCAAAGCAGGATTGCTATTTGCCAACGAACAAAGACACAATCTTGCAGTGCACAAGGTATCTATAAATCAAAGATTGAGGCTAATCCGACGGGATACGGACGGCACAGACAAGCATGAAGGGCCTTTTACTAATCCCTTGAGTCAATCCCTTTTGTCCCGGTCATAGTTCTCCCTAGCACATGAAAACGTTTCCTTCCCAGAACCCAAAGCCGCGCGGCATACCCGCTCCTGCCAGCGGCCCTATATCTTTCGCGAGAATTAAGTCAAGCGACCAGATCGCACGCTCGAATGTGGCTTTGGGCATCGCGTCTGTAGTGCCAGGAAAATCTCCTATTGGACCAGATGCGCAAATCATAAGCATCCACCCAGCATTCTCTTCAGCATCGGTGAGTGGGTGATCTTTTGGCTGAGCCTCCTCGCCCTTCCAGCGATAGAGTGATGAGTACATTTTGATGGATTTGTAAAAAAGTTGCCTGAGACGTCCTAACAGCGTTTCGGATATTTTTTTCATGGGACCGAGTGCCGTTGGAGGAAGTCCGAAATTTATTGCAATCAGGTAGGATGGTAGTCTATCAGGCACGGAGCCTAAAGGAGACAGCAATTCCGGGGGTAAGTTCTGAAACGTCGCTTCGTCTCCCATTGGAATCTCTTCATAGACGGCGAACTTGGCACTAACGATGTCGAATACTGTTGGCTCTTTGCCTCCAGTCTCTAAACGTCCGTGGCATCCTACTGGCGTTTCATCCTTACCGAGCTCCCTTGTGGTTTCCAAATTCAAAACCCGGCTTACATCATCGTATGCCTTGCTCTTCAAGACGTCCAAGTTGTCAACAAGACATGCGTACACATATATTGGCTTTGTGTCTTCTTCAGGGTTGTGTCCATAACCCTTTCCCTCCTTGGATCTGACGAACCGCAAGCAAGAGGTGACTTTGCCGTCTGAAGGTTTGTCCGAGGACATGTTGAGCATGTCTCTGAAATGCAGTTGCGTCCACCGCCCGAAACAGTTCTCAAAATATTCCCCATCGTGAAGTAAACGTGGGTGCACGAGTAGCATACCGGGTTTCTGGTCTACGGATGCCATTGTGTAGATGGATTTCCGAAAAAGAGTTGCAAGGCCTAAGGGGAGCTTTGGCTTGTCAATAAGAGACTCGATTCGAAATGTTGAAATGAATGATTTCGATGAACGGTTGCAATGGTCATACTCAAGACCTTAAATGTTATCGAACCTTTTGAAGAAGAAGTTGGTCATAGAAAACCGGGCTTCTTGGCAATCCCTACCAAGATATACACAAACGTCTCTTCCTCTCCGTCTTACCCTGATCTATAGCTTTTGAATAATCGGAAAAGACTTTGGGGATCCGGACGTGCAGTTGCAATGCCTACATATGTATGCATACCCCGCTGTAGTACGGTGCATTGCGTCCGTAGCGCATTAGTGAGAAGCGGAAAAAGCAAAGCAAATCCTAGATACAATGGCCGACCTCCCCCCTCCCAAAAGCATGCCCGCTTGCCTATGATAGCACCAGAGCTTGTAGTGCGAATATGAAGTGTCCTTGTTTATTGCCTTCGACCATGGGGTATGTGAGTACCATGCTGGTACCATCAGAAATTCCCACATTGAACAAGGAGTCGTGCATACGTGTTCTTACGTCTTCATAACCCAGCCCTCGACTGGGCCGTTGATTTCCGCTGCAATGTGGACACTCGTGTGCGAGCCGATGATCTGCAGGCGCATAGTAGCGGTAGCCACGTAAATCAGACTGCACTTGCTTTCGTCCTACGGGAAAATTCAAGCCATTGTATGGCGACACGCCGGTCGCCAATACTTCTGCCAGGCGCATCAGGGCGATGCAGACACCACTAACATACGACAAGGCGTTCAGTGATGGACATAGCCGGTCAGATTGAGAAATGTTGGGGTCTGCCGGGGGCATTGTGTTTGACGACAGGACAGCATAATGCAGATCAAGGGCAACTGTTTGCGCGTTACATAATCGATGTGTAAAAAAGCGAGGCGTTTCGGTACTCTCATCATTTTTTTTTCTGATTGTTGTGCAATCTAGTCGAAATCCGAAGTCTGGTTCTGGGCCTCCCATTGTAGATGCGTCACCATGGCCTTCTCCGCCTCCAATTCAGCCTCAAGGGTGCCTATTCGGTACGTGAACTCGGTGATCTTCGCGTCTTTTGCCTTGACAGCAAGGCGTGTCACATCTCTTGCTCTCTTGAAACCTTCTGTACGCTTTGTGTGTTGTATTAACAAGGTTTTAAGTTCCTCTTCGGCATGAACAGGTAAGACGATATTGGATTCTTGCAACAGACCAAAGACATCACCGACTAGGTCTTGATCCATTGCATTCTTTGAGCGACTTGTTTTTGGAGTTTCATCAATAGAAGTATAGGGCGTTGAGTAGGGTGTTGCAACTCTGCGGATGCTTTCTTGACTGGCCGCAGAAGAGGGGAAGGGGCTGGCCGCTGCTGGAGGTCTTGAATTAAACAGATCCCCCTGGGCCTTCCGTCCCGTGTGGGGTGTTCGCAATCCATAAACTGCTGTGTCGCTGTTTTGATCTTCGTCCCAGGGGAGGTTGAATCTTTTGGTGGCTGGAGTGCTGAAGATTGATGTCTTGGCAGCCTTACCAGGCGTTTCCGGATGAGACATGGCTTCACTCGGATCACGGCCGTCTTGGGCTTTTGAAGGACGGTACTTGTCTAGATTTCCGCTAATGGATCGTTTGCGCTTGTGTTCTGGAGTGAGAGTGGCAGCTGTATTTGCGACAGCTTCGTCCTCTCGTGTGCGGGCATCGTCGTCCCATAGGAAGAACTTGCATTGTTCTTGTGGAGGTTTGTTGCAGGTGCGAACTGGATTGAGCTGATAAGGATCTTGCGCAGGGCGTTTGGGAGCGAAGAGGATATCATACACCATCTCCCATGATTCGGGCCTGGTTTTGAGGTTTGTAGATGCACCGAGGGCAGTCGCGGACTGCAGTCACCTGATGGCACGTGAGCAGACAGCCCTGAGTGGCTTGAGTGTTGGCCATCATACAGTGCCAGACGCCGTGGACGAAGAGTCCTTTGCGTACACCCCGAGAGCCAGACATGACGGATTGGGACCAGTCTCGACGATGATATTGATGTCGTCGTCGTCGTCGTCACGGCGGGCGGAAGGAGGAGTGGAGAAGAGCGGATGCAGGGGCGTAGCGCCAATCTTGCCGCGCTGTTCCGGTCCGCCTTACTCGATACGGGCAATTCGTATAGGCTCGACGGCCCATCTAGACTGGCGTCGGATGTTCGCATCTGCAACCTCTTTGTCCATTATGGCTTTTGTTGCTCCAGCCAGCATTTTCGCCATCAGCCTGGTCCAAAGTATGCTGTGCAACGTTGCGCCACCCTGTCTACGGCTGGGTCCCTGACGTGAATCCACCATGTCTCCTTTTCCCACTCTCTAATCTCCACCATGAGTGGCTTCCATCCCTCGCACCTTCAGTTGCCACAATTGTGCCCCCTTCGGTGCTCCTTATCCTCATGCTCACGTCAAGGTGAAAACACACAGCTCCCGTGTCGATCAAGCACCTTTTCCAATTCGATCCTCGGTTGCAACCATGCTCGTCCGGTCGGCAAGGAGGCTGCCGCCGTCGCTCGTACTTATGCTCGCCTTCCTGGCCTTCTTGGGTTGGGAACTCAGTCAAGGAACAAGACATGAGGAGCATCCGTTGCCGCCATCGCCTGCTCCGCCTCCTCCTCCCGCTGCTGTCGAGCCTGAGCAGAAGCCACACGCCGAGGAGAAGAAACCGCCGCGATTAGCCCTCATAACCTTCGTTACCGAGCAGAGATCATACCTCTACCTCTCGCTAAGGAACAAAGATCGTAAGCCTGGCCAAGCTGTCACCCAAAAGAGACATGCTGACATGCGTCTTGCTCAGACTACTCCCGCCGTCACGGCTATGACCTCGTCATCGACTACGAACAGCACAGCGAAACTGGAAACCCTGTCTATTGGAAGTTTGACATGATCGAAAGGCTGGTCAAGTCAGCAAAGTATGACTGGATATGGTGGCTCGACTTCGACACACTCATCACCAACACTAATATCAATGTTGCCGACATAATCGACGACGAGTTGCAGAATGCTGAGCATGCTGACAATGTTGACTACATCTTCACCAACGACTGCAACGGCCTCAATCTAGGGTCCTTCCTCGTTCGCGCACATGATCGATCTCTCCAATTCATCCGCCGTGCACTTGATCTCCGTCACACCGACGAGGGCAAAGAATATAGCGAGCAGGACGCTCTGGTGCGTGTCATGAAGGAGGAGCCGTACTCGGAGAGGTTCATCGTTGCGCCTCAATCGAAATTGAACGCCTTTCCCGAAGAAATCAAATGCTATGAAGATGAGCATGGTCAGTGGGAGCCTAGCAAATTCATCTTGCATTTCGCTGGCGCGTGGGCCCACGTAGAGGGCGACGACCCCACAGGCCAACTTATGGACAAATACAAGCATGACGTCATGTGGGGAAAATGGGAAGATATATATTGATGGTGATGATGATGATTACGATGAGAAATGCACAGGGGGTTTACTGTGTGGTCCGCTCGCCTTGGAGTACGGAGTTGAAGCAAAACTGGTTATACAGTACGCTAATACCACAGGATGGCGTACTTTGTATGGTCTAACGGAGTACGCACAAGAACACTTGCTTGGTTTTATGGGAACATCGCAATCCATATATTCTTACCAGATCCGTTTTTCCGAACTGCTGACTGCCTAGCGCGCTTACTAACAATGCAGTACATTGCCTGGCGACTGTCCTCTTTTGTCTAGGTATGCAGCAAGTGTCGGCTGAAGTAAGCAATTGCCCCACGTGCGACTCTATGAAGCTATTGACTCGAGTAAATCTTCTCTTATCTGCGTTAGTTTGACCTTCTAGAGTAGGTTACTTTATTCGGCCATAGAGGTATCATTTGCGCTTTTGGTGGCCGCAACATCAGCACGTTGAGAATAATCACTAGGTCGCTTTTAATCCAAGTTCATAAAGTAGCCGCACATACAACTTTACCATTCGGTGTCTCTTGCATTCATTCGAGTCCCACACTCATCATCCACCATGAGCCCTCTAACCATTACCCAAGAGACTACCGCAGCGCTGAAACAACACATTGATAATGCTACACGACCGACCGCAGGCAAGTTGCCACTGCCGTCGGCCCTAGTTCATATAGTCGATTTCCATAACAATGTCCTCTTCTCTCATGGCTACAGTCCATCCAAACCTCCTACGTCAGAATCAATAGCTATCATCCAATCCCTCACAAAAATCATCGGTGCAATAGCATACATGCAGCTTGTCGAGCAAGGTCTGGCCACTCTTGATGACCCCACTACCATCAGCACCTTCCTCCCAGAACTCACATCGAAGCGAGTCCTGACCGGGTACACCGTGGACACCCAGACGGGCAGGAAGCAGTGGCAACTCGAAGAACAAAAGAGCAGTATCACAGCCCGGATGCTACTAAACCATACTTACGGTGGCGGTCACACCTACTTCAACCAGCTCCTCCTAGACTACATCCGTGATCTCGGCGAGGGAACCTGGGAAAACGCAAACGAAGCCAACAACCCCTACGGCATCCTCCTTGCAAGCCCTCTCCTCTGGCAACCTGGCACACACACAAACTACGGCCAGGGCCTCGACTGGCTCGCCGTGCTCATCGAGCGCATCACCAAGAAGCCACTAGCGGACTACCTCGAAGAAAACATTTTCGCTCCCCTCGGACTCAGAGAGATTGGTTTTGAGCCCGCGTTCGGAGGCGCCGTTACTGCACTTCCTGAGAATGCGGGAAAGTTCTGGCCGAGAAACATGAGGACGGAAAATGGGTTTATCGCGCTGGATGCTGCGGAGCCAGAGGTCGTTAGGAGATTGGATGCGTATCCTGAGGGACAGCATCACGTTGGGTGTTTGGGGACGGGGCTGGTGGCTAGTGCGAGGGACTATGCGCATCTTGTTGCTGCGTTGCTACCGCAGAATCAAGGTGTAGATCCGGTGACTGGGCATCGTATTCTTGCTGCAGAGTCGGTGGCGGAGATAACGAAGCCGCAGCTTGCAGAGCATTTACGGAATGACTCTCGTAGTCTCCCTGTTTCGGAGGCTCTGCCTATATTGCTCCCGGTTGACTTGTCGTCTCCTCATCTGGATCCGGAAGGTAGCTATGGGCTGGGCTGTGGTGTTCAGGGCGCACAGAGAGTGCTTAGAGATGGGAAGAGGGGTAGAAGCAAGGACACGGTCTACTGGTATGGTGCGCCAAATTGTGATATGTGGATCGATGGGGAGAAAGGTGTTGTAGTGACTGTTTGGGGGAGTTACTATCCGTGGAACGAAGGCGCATGGGTAGACTTTGTAGCGGAGGTAGAGGGATTTGTTTATGAGGGTCTGACACAGGAAGAGGTGACAGAAGATAGACTGAGAGAGACAAAGCTGTTTTAGAACGTCTCGAAAATAGGAACCTTTCTGTATTCAGATTCTGGTCTACAGTTGCCCTTTTTGTTCCTTTTGCCTTTCTTTGCTTTTCTTTGTAGATATATTGCTGTCAAGCTTGAGTATAGATGATATAGCACGAGGTAGATCTTGACCTCTTCTCAAGTCTCGCTTATGGCTTTGTTCAGAGCCAAGTAGCCTATTGTCTTTTCTTCCTCTTTTTAAATTGAACTAGATACTTATCCTCTTTTCCTTCTTTATCTTTACACCTACCTGGGAACAAAACGCAACGATTACGCTTCTTCGGTTTTTACTGTTCACCGTATCAAATCACCCTATATGTAAGTTTCTCTTGAAACAACAGTCTTCTAGTATATAGTCAGCGCTACAGCTACTTTCCATGATCTATTCACGACTTAGCTACGTACTGTCCAACAAACATAAACCGCAACCAGATACGCGAACAGCTTTAAACTATACGCCGTGCAAATATGTAATCAGAACACATTATGCTCACTGTGATGTAGTTTCAGTCGAGAATTCATCGCATCCATATCACCGACCAGCACGTTCCCAAAGCAACAAGAGTGTAATCTGCCGGCTCCCAAGAACCTGATCCATGATATCCATTTGGGCTTAATGTCCTACTACTTCACGACTAGTATCGACGGGAGATTTGTCATGAACTTCTTTGTAACGTCCATGACCGGTCAGTTACGCTTGACCGAGGCAAACTCCAGAACCTACTGGGATTCAGTGATGACGGCAAGATCCATAGAGCAACACCAGATCTGCTTGACCAAAGACAATTACCAACAGCCTCGGCATACTGCAACTTCTTGTGCTACCAAGTCTTGTTGCACCACTTGCCCAGACTCTTGTCATCTTGGGAACACCAAACCTATCCTAAAACCTCGATTGCGCGACATAATAAGCTTGTTCGATCTACCCATCAACAAACTATCCGTCTTATCCATTGCGCGTCCAATAGGTTTCCCCGCAAGACGCTATATACCCGGGTCTACAAGAACTACCAGCCTCGGTACCCCTCTAACCCTTGCTTCAGCTTGTGTAACGCGGTACGCCACCTAGTTTTGCACATGCTCTAGACCGGCATCGATGTCATTGGCATGGATAGGGGACGTTAGAGATGATGCAGGGGGGTTCCACGATGCATCTTGAGTGTGCATCATCGCGACCTGAGCCCGATACCTTGGGTCTAGCTTTTTTTCCTTTCTCTCTCCCCAATACAACACACATGAGCTAACAATATCTCTTGCTTGGCATGCATTTGAGCTGTTGGAAGTGGTTGTGACGCACACCGCTGCGCATGTAACGTTTAATGATTGGATGTTTTGCTTTTTGCGGCACACGGCAGCGGTTGCGTGTATGTAAGTATAGCCTAAAGAGCAACGGCTGACTGCCATGGTCTTGGCTGATGGAATTTTTTCTCCACATACACATAACTGATTTGGCCAGACTGTTGGCCAATCTCTCTTTGTTGTGACCGAACCTTCGGGAACGAGGTGCTGTACCCGTATAACGCCACCAATACTATTACCTTTGGGAACTTCCCATCCCGAGGTCAGGCAACCTACTCATAATGCATGCGAACCCCAACTAACCGCTTTTCCCAGAATTTCCATAATGGATAAATGGATGAGTTGGTAATTTCGCCATGTATACTAGACATTCTAGGGGCCGTTTACAAGATAATGTGGAGATGTGGTGGAAGCCGAAGTGATCATCAAGACGGGTCGCCCCTTGGGGGCCGTAATCGTGTGGTCCAGCGCCATATCCGCTGCCAGATCGTTAGAGCGCCATTGCTTTTTGTCATGTACTAGAGGACCTATAGCAGACTGATACATGCGTATATACGTATAAATAGGCCATAATAACATCGTATGGAGTGGATCACATCTGCTGTGCTGAGCTGAAGTTGCTCGGGAGCCGAGCCGATAGGTGTGATTGTCGTCGCAACACGGTGTGGCGCTTTGCTAATGGCGAACACCGGCTCATTCCTGCCCGAACCGGGCGTTCATGCAAACTTTGGTTGATGATTCTAGAGCAACAAGCCTCCAATGCACGGAGAATGGAAGCTAGGTATGTCCGAGTATGTGCAAGGAGAGGGAGAAGATGCTTCGTCTCAAGACAGCGTGCCGTGAGCTGCCGATAATTTGGCAAAAGGGCTGAACGCATAGGCACTTTGCAAAAGTCACTGTGTCGGTAAAAGGTATGATAGCACAGGCTATGCCTGTGTTAGGGACGGGACGCGCTGAATCGGACCGATGGTGACGAGAAACTCTAGAAGGATGCCACGAGGCGAATGGCGCATTTCGGACATGCTTCCTTATTTCGAATGACCGACGAGTTTTGTGCGGATTGAGTCGGATCCTGGCTGCTGAAGGTTCTATCTCTTTTCTAGGCAACTGGCAAGGACATGAGAACCGTCTAGCGCTTTTGGCACCGAGGCTGAAAGACGGGTTGGCGGGTTAGTTGAACTGGGGTGGCACTGAACCAGACTGTTGGTACCTGAGTGACATTGCTCTGTGTTGGTGATCAAGTGTTGGGTAGTGAGTACAAGTAGATGTTATGGCTAGCGTGTTGGTCGGCTGAACGAGCTGCTGCAACTACGCAGTAAGTAGCAGAGCACTGAGTGAGATAGGGTTCGTCCATCGGGCTGTCTAGATGTTATACCGGAATCTTATTACATCACTGCTTACCCCACGTTCATGTCACTCTTGTGATTAAGAAGTAGAAAGACAGGGTGATCCTTGGGGGGTTCTGTCAAACAAGAGTTTGACCAGGGCAGTCCCCGCGAGATTGGCGATCCGGCTGCTGATGGAGGTAGCTTCCTGGGTGTTCGCAGGCAAATCTGAAACTTATTGATTGTGGCCAACGACGAAACATATGTATATTGGGCAACTTGGAAAGCTTGGAGTATTGGAGATGTTGGAGATGTTGTCGATGCAAGACGCGTGGCCACATTGTAGGCGAAGAGTGAAGAGAGCGATGATGGTGGAGGAAAGAGGCGAAGCGAGACGAGGCACGTGCATGTTGTAGCCGGGCGTGCACCTTCCTGGCCGCCACCACCACCACCACGACGTCACAACATACATACTATTACTACGTAACAGACACAAACTCTATGGCCACGCAGGCTTGAATCAAGACACAACAAGATGTCCATGGCCAGACCAAAACGAAGACTGCATTCTTGCGCGTCGGCACGCGTTTGTTGGGCTTCTCCACTGCCCACAAAGGCGCAGCGCTAACGCGGCATAAGGGGCTTGAAAACGCCGGGCGTTGCAGGAACAGCGGCGATGGCTGACTGCGTTGCCCGCTTCCCACCACGACATGACAGGTTGCTCCTCCGCCCGGGGGATGGATGGTTGGAACGCTAACCATCAGGCGATCCGGAGAATTGTGTCGTATATGTAAGTACTCATGGTCTGTTCCTGCATGCTACATTCTTAGCTACTGTCACTGTGTAGTGTACACAGCAAGCTGAGAAGTGGCTCTGGTCCCACCCAGAGCGCAGTGGATCGTTCAGGCAAAAGACTCGGAAAGCCCGCCATTGGACGTCACCAAGAACCGGCCAGGATTGGACACTCCTTCACCGGCCACTCAAAGACCTCTTCCGACACTGTCAATGGCCGCCCAGACAGGTGGTGCGCCGACAGCGACGATGTATTTGGTCTCGTGACGCGGCACACCACGCGCGCAATCCGACGGGTGCTACGTCGTAAAATACGTTTTTTTTTCTTCCTGCTGCCGATCGTTACAGTCAGCTTCACGGTGATCTTCACACGGCATCGAGTCAATTTCGCAGACTATTGGCCTGCTCAGTGACGGTTCCTATCACAGCCCCGGCCAGGACGGGGGCTTCAGATAGCTTGTCAAGACGTGGGGTGTGTGTGTGCGTGTGTCGAAGAGAAGAGTCCTTGTGCGTCGTCTTTTGACAGGAACCGCGCCGCACTGTTCTCTGGTAGGCGCCCGCGGCTGGCCGTTTGGACGCCGCCACGCTTCGGCCTGGTCAGCCATTTTGGAGAGCGGGCGAATCACACTGCATGCGCAGTCCAAAGACGTGATGGCTCGCCGTGCTGCCTCTGGCGCGTTGGAGCCAACACCAGCGCGCATATCAGCCGGGTGCCTGGGCCCGGCAGTGACATCCTTGTCCCCAGTCCCGCCTCTGGTACGAGTCCCGGCTGCCCTTGCACACCTCCTGCTTGCCTTGGCTACCAATTCACTAGGGCCCCGCCGCGCTAGAGTGCTAGAACGAATAGAGTCTGCAAGGGGAAAGTGGCCTGTTCACGTCAGGATCGCCGCGCTCACTGGACCTACATACTCAGGCGGCCCAACCAGGAGCCACTCCCAAGCCCAGGGCGTCGTCCTGCATCGTGCAGTTTTACTTATGCCGCAGCGGCCTTCCCCTACATCTACCATAACGTCCCGTCTTTCGGTTTTTTGTCATTCGCTTTGGCCTCGTGCGCCTCTTGATCGACCCCAGAACCTTATTCACTCTTTAGACTGCTGGCGTCAAGGTGATCCGCGACGTATTTACTCCACATTTTGTTTCGTTTCTTGCCTGGTGACGTTTATTGGACTCGAGTCCTGCAACTGCTGTTACACGTCTCGCTACCTCCTTCACTGCCTCGCCCTACCACTGCATAAACTGTAGCAGACCCAAGTAAATCCTAGAGTCGAATTCCGGCATCTCCATTGCCGTCGGGCACTCAGGTATCCTGTCCACCTTATATTCCCCCCGGGCACAAGTTGGAATACCGCCAGGTAGACTTGCGTCACACATGTACACAACATTTTGGACGCATTCGTCGTAGGAAGAGCCTGAGGAACCCGAAATGGTCAACAACGCTACAGCAATCGAGGCACTTCGAGGCGACTGCCCGCCGCCCTTCTTCGACCAGTCAAAATTTGGATTCGGCGGTTGTAGGTCATCCCACCACAGTCTCCTGATGAGTGTATTCTGACGGGCTCAGTTGTCGATGGAAGATTTTGTGCGCCTTATGGGGCTAATGGTGTTTGTTGCCTGCCATGCCCACTGACAGATTTTCTATATCCAGATAGTACGTCTTCATAGGCTATGGACCCAGTGTTCGCTCACCGTACTAATGACTCCAGGCTTCAACACTACCTACCAAGTAGCTGAAGCGCTCAATGTAGTGGGGCTTTTCTGTCTGGTGTTCCTGTTAGTCTCATACATCTTCCTTCCAGCCGAAAAGACGCGCCGGCATTATCTCAGCTACTGTCTCATCATCGCCGCGATATTCATGGCAGTATGTATATCTTGTATGATTCACGTCTTCCACTAATCGCCGCCAGCTTGGCTTTGTAATACCTTTTGGAGCCCAACCAGAACAGTGCTACGACGAGATCACTCCCAATGACATGTACTCGAGTCTAACGTGCGCTTTCTCGGGAGCGTTTCTCATCTCTGGTGGTCTATCAATGGCGGTTTGGATCTTCATTCGTGCTCTCTCCATGCACCTCCAGATCTGTTGGGATGTTACTCCTGGGAAGAGATTCTTCTACTGTGCACAAGGCTTGGGCTGGTCCGTTGCCGCTGCCTTCTTCACCATCACCATCACCATCACCGGTGTCTCGTTCAGGTTCGGCGATGTTTGCCACGTCAATGCTGAGCATTCGATGAAAGACTTCTGGGGCCCTTTGCTGGCCATTGCTGGAGCGGCAACAGTCATCCAAATTGGAACGTAGGTTGCTCGTGACAATCCTCTCCACAATATTGCTAACGCATGTCTAGATTCGTATATTGCATCAAAGTCTACCTTCAGAACATGTTTAGTGACGACAAGACCGAGACCCAAAGCAGCGCAGGCCTTCCCTCGTACACGACCAGCATTCGGAACCGATCTGCACGAGCAGTTTACCGGCGTGTACGCAAAGTGCTTTACCTCCAATGGCGAGGCATTACGATCGTCGTCTTTATCCTTGTAGACGTCATCTTCTTCTCGATTGTGTTCATCTGGCTCAACTCGATCACTCAGCATGCTGCTGATAACATTGCGGACCTCGCCCCATTCCTCCTGTGTTTGATGAAAAATGCCGACGAGCCGTCACCGTGCTTCCCTCTTGGTCAAGACCTTGCCATTGACCAGTCTACTGTGACTGCGGTCTTGATGATGCTCTCAATTGCTGGTATACAAGCATTCCTGTTGCTTTTCCGATGGAGCATGGTGACTGGATGGCGTGACTTGGTCTTTGGCAACAAAAACCGCGAGTTCGTATCTTTGGATGCCAGGAACCCGACCGAAGACATGCGTCATTTCGAACTCAAAAATTTCAACCACCAATCACCTCCAAATGCACACATCACACCGGAGATTGCTAGTTATGTCATGAATAATCCCCGGTTCGACACGCCCGATCACTTTCAAAAAGACATTCAGCACGAATACAAGAGCCCAACGCTCAGCTTCTCTATCCCAAGGACTCAATCTCGAGCTACCCATGTGGACTGGGACCCTAGGTCATCCATGGCAAGGGGAGGGCTTGGGCTACATCCACCCGATTATGATTCTAAAATCTGATCATGAATGCGTACAAAATTTTGCTTTCCTCTTTCCAAAACGATTTTCATATTAGAATTTCACATACAAGGTCCTCCATGGCGCAGTCGTTTCTACCGTCAGATTTAGCCGCGCACCATTCTACCGCACGCGACCGCAACACCGACTTGCAATATCACGGCGGGGACGTTGATACAATTCACATGCATCTGCATCTGATTGTCGAACCAACACCATGTGCTCTGCGAGATACCTGGATCACAGTCACAAGCTGGCTTGACTACAGTGCTGGGCTACTACATGTCACTACTGGTTGCACAACATTATGCTCCACTGCCTTGGCCCTCGCACCATCCGCCATTCAGTCGACGGCTTCCAACGCTCAACCAAAACTTTTCCTTACCTTTCCACGACCGCATAAAATTCGCATACCCCAATACACACAGTGTACACCATAGACAATGGCTTGGATTCGCTTCCACCAATCACCTTCACAGATGGCTGTGTGTGCATTACGCAGCACAGGCCTTCCTTGACTTTTCGTACTCGGTCTTTCATGCTGTTGCGTAAAGTGGCCAAGCAACTTTTGTACCGCTATACAGCGCAATCGGCCTAGGCCTTGTTTCAGAGATCTTTCCTATGTTTCAAGACCGCCATTGCATATAGCCAAAACTTAGTTGCAGAGTTGCATAACTCTATTTTTCGCGAGCGCCCAAGCCCGCCCAAGCTATAGTAATAAATCGACTATTGCCCGTTGACAAGGCAAAGCCTTCTATGTTCAAACTAAAAATACCCGTGAAACTGAGGAAGCGAGTCGGGACGGAGACCGGAAGACGACCTTTTGTCATGACTGACAAAGAACTGTCGGCTTGCGCACAAGGCGTGCAAAGGTCCAAACACCGTCTCAAGTAGGTTCGTTGGGAGGTGTGGGGCCGACCACACACCCGGCAATATGGCTAAATGAGACACGTTTGAAATGCCGATCTACTCTGTAGAAGGGACATCGCGTACGCTTAGGAACATCGAGTAAAGAACATGGCCGAGTAAGAACAGAAAGGGGCCAAGGAAAAAACGTGGCAATTGAGAGCTAAGCCCTAGCGGTCACATGGCCACCAGGGGCCCTCCGTCGCATCCGTCAGTGGCTCTTGCATCCGGTCAGAAATATCGGCTCTACCCCATCCAATACGGAAACATGTAGACGATGACATCTGTCGATCGTCTTCATAATTCGACAAATTAACCTTTTGCCGTGCTGACGCCTCATTCTCCGCCGTGCTATTACTGACCGTCTATACTGAATCCGGTTCAGCCATTCGGCCGCTTCCGCATCTTGTAGCTGTACTATCACGAAATAGTAACATGTACCCACAGGCATGGTAGTAGTCGCTATCAATGTCATGCAAGCCTTTGCACTGCAGTCACGCCCCATCTGCGCGCCCCATCTGCGCGCCCCATCTGGCCAGACATACAGTAATTCTACTTGATTTTACCTTTCTTCTTCTGTTTTCTTTTGCTTGCCTCACGTGAGAAGGGGCAAGATTCCAGCGTATCTTCCTTTCCCTTGGCACATCCTTCTCAACAAGAGTGCGGGGCAAAGCTCCAGTCCCCACACTATGGTTCACCGGAAAGGCGCGTGACTGGATGCAAAGAGACGCGGAGGAATCCTATGAAAAGAGTAGGTAGTTCCTTTCGCAATCGGTTTGTGGGGGCGCGAATCCACATCCTAACGGCTCCCTGCCTATGGTTGTACCGAAGACCGGTAACTGTCTTGGAGCGGAGCACCAGCAGGACGTGCACGTATTCCAGGCACGAACTCGCAAGAACGGGTTTCTGGCCCGCGGACCAGATAAGCGGCTTACGCCGAGCGTGCGTGCGGCTGTGGAGGAATGGATTCGAGGGTGCGGAAAGGGACTCGTCTTGTCATCAGCCCGGCTCAGTGCAAGGCTCGTTCGTCTTCCTCGCGTGTGCAAGCGAGATGAAGACGGGAGCATCCTGGGGGGAAAGAGGAGCCGCTATGCAATAAAAGGAACACTCCATACTTTGCCTAATTCTAGCGCAAGCATCTTCTATGGAGCTTACGTGAGGATAAGACAAGAAGCAAAACCATGTTCTTCTTGCTCGCCAGGCCAGCATTCGAAATCTTGGTGGAGTGACTTGATCCCGACTGCCGGTCCATAGAAAACAGGGCTTCGTCGTGCCACGCGGAGTAGACAAAGGAACTTTGGAAACGTGTCTCAGACCCCGTTGCCCCCTGCATATGCATGCTGGGTATGTCGAGAGTTTTGGATTTTGTGACTACATGTTAGGCCACTTCGCCTGCATCTCGTGGGTATGTCTGTTGGATACTTTATCACTGCAAGGTAGCCATGCATGAGTCCAGTTTAAGCGACGTAGCGATGACGTCAAGAGGGGGTGGAAGAGAAACTATGCATGCGGCGCGTCTACCGTGTATAGCGGGGTGCAAAGACAGCAGATGAAGCCGAAGCTAAGATGCTCATGATTCAAGACACGTGATGAACACCCAAGCATAAGAGATCTTGCACAAGCTTTCCAGATCCCTATGTATATCAGAATCAATTAGACCTCTGTGCTGACCTACTATGCTCGTTGGCTTAATATGTACTGGTTGTCCGCAGTGCCATTTAACAATTGCCTGCGCGGGCGATTCGTCCCATTCGTCTTCTCATATATGCATGAATAGTGTTGTTCTCTGTTAAATCTTTGTAATAGCACAAATCACGGGCACACTCATATGACAACGTCCGTAATCTTACGTTACCAAGTAACCAGCGGGAACCGGACATACATCATCTTGTATCTCCATCAGCGATATGTTTTGTAACACAGTACGCCACAACACCAATCGAATCTTCGAGTATAGCTTGCACTTACCTCATCGTTGTCTTCAATCTCAAAACATGCTGACAAAAAAGAATTAGCACGTCTCCGCAACAAGTCGTAATTCCGCTACTTATGGCGTTATGGGCTTTCGGACTTTAGCAAACGTCACAACTAATTAGATCCAAAGGCCGGCCACCCCACCATTGCGCGTACTATCGGACCGTTCTCTCCCCTCACCACAAGTGTTAGTGTCATTACTGCGAACCTCCAATCCGATACGATACAAGAGTTTCTCTCCAAATTCCAACGTTTCCATTACCAAGAGTTGGAACAAACAGGCAAAAACAAACTTATAACCCCACTCTTTGCTTGTGTACCTCGTATATACGCTAGCATGGTTGCGATGGGAGGCGGACCAGACATCCCCGTCCGTGCTGGCGCGTCAAGAGAGAAAGAACTGGTGCTCTGTACATTGCCATGGCCGGAAGATCAAGCTTCGGCAGGCACTCAAGAGTTGAAAGAAGCGTTTGGTGATGTGGAGATCAAGTATTATCACACCAAGTATGCGAATGGAAAAATCGAACCGTTGGATGTGCCTGAAGGTATGTTAGAAAAAAAGACCACAATAACAATGTGCCAGACATACCCTATGGGTGTGAGCGATATCCGACCATACTCTTTCTTTTTGCGACCGTTTTTGGTTCCGAGGAGATGGTTTGGTATCGGAGGATTTGACAGAGTCCCCCTGCATGACACCCATAATTTACCTTTTCTTCAACCCGTCCAAGGCCATCCTTGCCCTTGGCCTTGCCATTCACGACCCCACACTGACCCATTCTCCCAGAGATTCTCCGCCGCGCAAGCTACCTAGTAACCCTCTTCTGGCTCCCACCCGACGACTCGTCCATTCCCTCCGTTAAGCTCATCCAATTCGTCTCAGCCGGCACAAACCACGTTGCCAACCACCCCATCTACACGGACTCGAAGATCCCACTATGCTCGGCCAATGGCGTCCACGGGCCACAAATTGCAGAGTGGGTCATCATGATGGACCTGGTGCATAGCCATAGCTACACGACGCTGTACGATAACCAGAAGAAGAAGGTTTGGGATCAGAGGGCAGGTATGAATGTTAGCGATCGTGTGGGTAAGAGAGTTGGAATCTTGGGCTACGGAAGCATTGGTCGTCAAGGTATGTCCAGTCTTGTCTACTTTTTGTGTAGAATTTCTAATGTGTACTGACCATTTGTTTCTTCTTCCTACTATACAGTCGCCCGCGTAGCAAAGGCAATGGGCATGGATGTAATAGCATACACAGCATCTCCACGCAAAATCCCAGAGTCCAAGCACGACAATGGATACATTGTGCCTGGCACTGGCGATCCAGATGGCAGTATCCCCAGTGCATGGTTTAGTGGGACGGAGAAGGAGCATATTCACGAGTTTTTGAAGCAGGAGATTGATTTACTAGTCATAGCTGTGCCGTTGACGTAAGTATACAATATGATACTTAAAGTACTAGTAGAGCAGAAAGCTAATGGCCAAATAGCAAAGACACAACACACCTCTTTTCAACCCCGGAATTCGAACTCCTGCACAAATCTAACCCAAAAGGAACGTATGTCGTCAACATTGCGCGCGGCCAGATCATCGACCAAAAAGCTCTTATTACCGCTCTGGAAACTGAGCAAATTCAGGGCGCTGCGCTAGATGTGACGGATCCTGAGCCGTTGCCCGAGGACGACCCACTGTGGGATGCTCCCAACGTACTCATTACGCCGCATTGTAGTGGAGCATCGGATGTGTATGTCAACCGTGCGTTCCAGTTGCTGATTGAGAACATCAAACATGAGAGAAGTGGTGGCCAATTGATCAATGAGGTCAATCGGAAGAGGGGATATTGAGGTGGAGGAGATTCGAGACTCCAGGCTGTCAAAATGTGTTTAGTAAAACAATCCACTTTAGACTATGGATGAATCGATAATGGGGTATGTATGCAATAGACTCCAAGTAAAGAAACCGCCATTTTTTCCACGTCTAATTATGCGTCATCCTCATCTTTCTGATTCCGCGCAAGCTTGAAAAGGAGGAAAAACCCATGCGCCTTGCCCATATCGTTTGTGTTATCACCGTCTGTTGAACAGACTCGAGATCATTCCACCCGCCAGATTCCGCGCAAGACCGGATCCGTACATGGCATTTGAAGCGAAGCCCGAAGCCTGACTAAACTTGTCGCACCGCGAGAAAGCGAGAGTATTCGTAATCGTAAGAACGAGCGCGATAGCTGCATCATAACCGTTAGCTTTTGTGTCTCCCACTTTCCACCACCTCCATCTCTCCAAACACCAAAGGGAAAACAGTCGTATACTCACCCACAAGCGTCAACCAAATAAACTCCAAACTAACCAGCGCAACAATCGCCAGCACAACCCATAGCACTGGCTGCGCATACAGCGCCAGCCAAAAGAACCGCTTATCCGTCGCATTAATCTGGCGCGAACTCGTATCCGGATCCAAACTCTCAAACACCCATCGCCCATCGCCTGTGCTAGCATCGACTTCGTTCCACCAGCGCAGGCCGACGAGGCGGCGCCCCGCAATGTTCTTGAGGTAGTAGAAGTCCATGGCGAGGAGCAGGATGGTGATGATGAAGATGAGGACGAAGTTGGAGGTTAGGAGGCGGAGGCCGAGGAGGTAGACTACTAGGGAGGCTGGTTGGAATGTGGGTTAGTTTGTATGTCCGGGTTTGTAGGGATACGTATGTATGTATGGACGTACATGCACGGAAGAAGAGGAAGGTAAGCAGGGTGATGGGGTGGCTGCTGAGTCTCCAGCTCAGAGAGCCGGGGGCTGGCTCTTGTTGGGCGGTTTCCATTTTATCCGCTCTTCTCTTTCTTTCTGTTCTCGAGACTTTTGCGCGCGGGCGGGGAGAGGGTCAATTGTGCGCAGGGTGGGGATCTTTCAAGATGGGTGAAGATGAGCTTCACGTGGCTTTCCATGGGCGGGCGACGCGTCGGCCATTCGGCGTTTAAGCTAAGTAGCTGCCGGTGCGGCGGGCGGTCTCCAGTCGTTCCCCGCACGTCATAGGGTCTGGGGATCATGCAAGCTATGTAAACGGCCATTGGGATTGCTTTGCTTTTATTTGCGTTTCGGGAGTATCATTTCAAGTCAAATTGTCTGTCGTGTAGACAATCACAAGTCGCAATGGCAGCACCAATCATTCGAAGGGCCTGCATGTATGGTGTGTCTCCTCCATTGCTCTCCTATACAATATCTATACGATATCTCTATACTAACTTGTCGCAACATAGTCCCTGCATCCTCCAAAAAGATGCTGGAGAAGTCATTCGCCATGCACATCGATAATGTAACATACGACCTCGAAGATAGCGTCGCGCCGCACATGAAGCCCGCCGCCCGCTCCAACCTTCGCGACATCCTCAGCAAACAGCGACCTGCTGGCATAAAAGAAATGTGTGTGAGAATAAACAGCGTCGACACAGGTCTCGCCCTGGACGACTTGACAGAAGTGCTCAAGGGCGAGTATCTGGATGCGATTATGCTGCCCAAGTGCGAAAGCGCTGCGGACTTACACTTTGTGACGGACGTAATAAGGCATCTAAGTCCAGCGCGGCATCCAAGCACAGGACAGAAGGGACAAAGGGAGCCAGTGCGCATAATAGCATTGATTGAGAGCGCAAAAGCAGTGCAGAATCTGAGCTCGATATGCTCAGCGTCACCCTACCTTTCAGGTCTTGTATTTGCAGCAGAAGACTTTGCAAAGGACATGAGTCTCACACGTACTCCGTCTCTCACAGAGTTCTTGTATGCGCGAAGTGCAATTGCGACGGCAGCACGTGCGGCCGAACTTCCAAGCACGATTGATCTAGTTTGCACAAGCTACAAGGGCGAAGAGGGATTGAAAACACTTGAGGAAGAGTGTCTAAATGGAAAGGGCATGGGCTTCAATGGCAAGCAATGCATACATCCAAGCCAGGTTGCTGTATGCCACAAGGCTTTTAGCCCAGGGGAGAAAGAGCTCGAGTGGGCTGCGAGGATAGCCATCGCAGATGAGAAAGCCAGTCAGGCAGGGCGGGGAGCATGGACGCTGGATGGTAAGATGATCGATGCGCCTGTTGTGAAGAAGGCGCATGCGGTACTAAAACATGCTGAGGTGTGTGAAATGGATGTTGATGCGGTAAAGAACCGATGGAAAGACCAAGAACCTGAGTAGTACGCTAGTATCTTGGAATCTGTAATCATACATGCTCATCCTGACCAGCCCAATATCCCATGCTTGAGCCTCTACACAGTAATCATGACACTTGCGTTCTTGTACCAACTCAATAGTGGGTTATCACCATTCTTCGTGGTCGTCTCCGCAATGTCTGCTCTGCCAGCCATGAAGTCTTCATGAAGATAGGTACGCGCAAATCGCCCTGTAATGGCTGTATACATTGGCTCCATGACTTCAAAGTCGGTGGGGAAGAGAATGTCAAAGTAGCCTTGGTGGACCTGGTCACTATTAGCACAGATTCCGTACCAAACTCCAGCGAGTTTATCAACTTACAAGAGGCGTAGAGACGGGAATCATCTGTCTCTTATACCTAGTCTGCACAACAGGAGCGTTGATACCTTCCACCGCATCGCTTAGCTTATGGAAATCACTGCTGACCAGCTTGTGATTTGGGAATTTTTCATACAACATGTAGAAGAATTGCATCAGCCTCGTGGGAATATACTCTGGCACACTCATGTTTGACCGGAATGGAATTAGGCTCCTCAAGTTGTGCATGAGCCGTGAGCCTTGGAGTGGGTGCCGATACGAGGAGCATGCAGCATGCCTTCGCTCGAGGAACTGGCTTACAAGAGGATCAAGGGTGCGGGAATAGTACTCGAAGAGTTCGCCTCGGGCATCTATGACAACGTGCGACTGGTAGGGTAGACCAGTCTCAAAGTCGTACTTTAGGGCATCGTGGGCGAAATTGTCAAAGACCTCGAGCGCAAGGAAGTAGCAAGGTGAGGAGACGTAGGTGTTCCAATCAAAGATGCTGCGATTGATAATCTCCACCTTGTCCGAATGGCCTCTCGCGTATGCCGAGTGACCCAGCCCCTTCTGTTGCAAGTCGGCAAGTTGACTGGAAATCTCGATAATCTTGTACTTCGTCCGTTCATACACTTCTGGATGCACATCTCTGATGAAGTCGAGTATGTTTAGCATCATGGTGCCATTTCCCGCGCCCATCTCGTATATGTTCAAGTCGTGATATGGATAGAAGTTGTACTTGTAGTCTTCGACGAGATAGCGTGCAATTGCTTCTCCATAGTAAGGAGAGAACAGCTCAGTAGGGGTATGCCATAGCTGTCGTAGATCATTTGGCTCTTTGTAATCCAGCTCATCCTCAAAGGCAGTGTAGCGATGCCGCAATTGTTGGAAGAATTCGTGCTCGGAGCCCATGGAGTTGAAGTCGAACGGGTCGCCTGGCGAGAAGATGACGACTTGTTTAGAGAAGTAGCCGTAGTTTGGGTTGTACAAGCTGTCTGGAGACGGGTGAGTATGTCTAATCTCTCAGCATAGAGACTACCTACCCTCTATAAAGTCTCGTAGCAGCATCTTGACTCGCCGCGGTCTTTCTCTTCTGTTCCGCAACATATCCGACGTGACCATTGGGTATCTCTCAAACTCCTCGCTTCTCTCATGCGGAAATGCATTTCTCCTTGGTGTCCATCTGCTTTCCCTTCGCGTCTCGCCCTCACCCAACCGAGTGGCTTTTGTCCGTCTTTGGTGGTGCGGAATGCGGGCAGCAGCGAGCGCTGGTCGACCTCCGCGGGCCAGGCATTGCGACGCCCGGTGCGAGAACAATTGGCGAAAGAGGCGATTGACAAGCGGCGAGTCCATTGGCACCAGAACAATCGTCGCAACTCGTATGCGACGGCGTCGGAGGCACTGGCAGTCTTCGCGCGGACCCACGTGGGTGAGCTTTGCGGGCGGTGATGCCAAGACGGGCATGCCACAGCTCCGCTTCTGGCCCTCTTTTGGTCGCACTCGACTATCTGCATCTTTCCATGCGCCAACTATGTCCGATCGCTCCAGATATTACATATTAGGGACTTTTCTATTAGGAGCAGCCGCCATAGCTGCCTACAACAAAAAACTAGCTGCAGAAAAAAATGATACTGCAAGCAGTCACTCACTCCTTGCCCAACAGCAAAATTTGCTCTTACAACTAGCAAAAGTAAATGACTTGGAAGAGTTCAAGAAGGGTCTTTTGGAGATTGAGCGTTCATTAGAAAATGGTACAGCATCTATCAAGGAGGGTATAGAGGGATGCATTGGCAACACCCCACTCATCAAGATTAAGTCGCTTTCTGAATACACAGGCTGCGATATACTAGCAAAAGCGGAGGTATGCAAATTGATGCTTTTCATAAAATGCCCCACTGATGCGTAGTTTTCAGTTTCTCAATGGGGCGGGTAACAGTCCTAAAGATCGAGTGGCACTTAGTATAATTGAAATGGTAAGCTAGGAACACTGGATATTAAAACCATGGCATGATTTTGCTCAACATCAAACAGGCCGAGCAAAAAGGGCTTCTTATCCCACATTCAGGCGATACCATATATGAAGGCACAGTGGGAAGCACGGGTATTTCATTAGCAGCAATATGCAGGGCACGAGGCTACAAAGCACACATGTCAGTTCTTTGACTGGCATTAAAGAATACTGACTAACGACCGAAAGCTGCATGCCAAATGACATGGCAATCGAAAAATCAGATTTGCTCCTAAAACTCGGTGCTGAGGTAGAAAAAGTACGACCAGCGCCTATTGTAGATCAGAAGCAATTCGTCAATCTTGCACGATCACGAGCTGAAGAGCACACTGCCAGCGCTGAAAAGTCGGGACGCGGCTTATTTGCCGACCAATTCGAGACAGAGGCAAATTGGCGTGCACACTTCACTGGTACTGGTCCTGAGATCTACGAACAAACCGGTCACCGTCTCGATGCCTTTGTCAGTGGCGCTGGTACCGGAGGAACGATTTCTGGCGTCGCCATGTTTCTAAAATCCAAGTTGCCTAATCTCAAGGTCGTCCTTGCCGATCCCCCAGGCAGTGGTCTATTTAACCGTGTCAAGTATGGCGTCATGTTTGACCCCAAGGAGCGAGAAGGAACACGGCGACGCCATCAGGTGGATACCATAGTTGAAGGCATCGGCATCAACAGAGTGACCCACAACTTTGACGTTGGGCGAGAATTGATTGACGATGCAATTAGAGTGACGGACGAACAAGCCATTTCCATGGCGCGATGGTTGGTCGAGCATGATGGAATATTCGTGGGAAGTTCTAGTGCAGTAAACTGTAAGTTTTGTACCGCTCAAGTGTAGGCAGTGCTGATGCATCAAAGGTGTCGCTGCTGCGAAGCTCGCAAAGAGTCTCGGGCCTGGTCATCGTATTGTCACAATATTGTGCGATAGGTAAGACAACACCCCCCTTCAAAAGCGACAGGGTACTAATAATTATTCAGTGGTGCGAGACACTTGAGCAAGTTTTGGAAGAGCACCGAGCCCATCGGTGGTGTGGACAGCGATGTGTCCCTAGAAGCCATCATCGATGCTTGAGACATTTTCTTCTCACTACTATTTGATCAGAGTCCTTAATCAAAGCTCATCTCTGAGGCACCCGCTAAGACTGTTCAAAAGAGGATATCACCACCCACATCCAGAATATAATAACACATGACTAGATCGCGCCATCAACCAGGACGTCGCAGCATACGTACCGGCGACGAACACCCCATAGCCCCTTCGGCCATCGCCAATTTTAAGGAACATGCGACATTGTGTAGAAATGATATTTCATTACGAACGTCGAACGGTATGAACACGTGATGAAGAAAGACAAAGATGCTTCTTTTCACAACGCATTTTGACTTGGCCAAAAAAACAGCGTCTTAAGCCTGTGTGTCGCAACAAAGAGCAAAACCTCCACAATATCCATTCTCTCCCAACCCATGCTTTGTCTATTTGAGCCGGCTTTGTATACTACAGAAGCATCTCCATCTGCTCACTGCATGTTGCTGGAGGATAGATCTACACTACGCATCATACACGTGTTTCTCGTCACCAAAAAAAAGACTACTCGTACCCCCAGCAAAAAAAAAAAAAGTCCAGTATGGGCAAACCAGAAAAAAAGACTCCCTCACCAATCAAACCCACCCGCGCAAGCACAACAACCGGCATCCGCAAATCCTACGCCCCAAAACCCCCTCGTACCACCCTCGCCCAACGCCGCCTCGAAACCCACAATTCGCCTCTAGCCCAAAAACTCTCCCAAATGCGCCTCACCATTGCCCCCATAATCCACGTCACCACGGCGCTCCCCGCGCCCGACTACCCCCGAACCCTCCACCTCTTCCTCCTCACTGAACCCCAACTCGACGCCCTAGCCACCTACTACTCGCAAACCTCGCCCGTCTCGCATCTCACGCACGCATACCCCGCCACAATGAACTGGAGCCATCCATTCCTCGATGCGAGTGATGAGTTACCCGGGGATTGTAAACTGGATAAGCTAGAGAGACTGAAGGTCAAGATGAGGATGTTTGCGCGGTTTATTGGGATGAGGGGGGCGGAGACGCCTGGGTGGGAGTATGAAAGGCAGATTGAGATACTGGGGAATAAGGTGAGATGGGAGGTTAGGAGGGAGGAGGAGGAAGAGGAGAGGAGGGGGAAGGTGTTTGCGGGGGCGAGGGAGTTGAAGTAAAAGGGTGTTGGTGGTTTTTTTTTTCTGATTGTTTGAAGTGTTGGCATAGCGAGAAGTTGGATTATGTAGCATATACACAGTTTGGTTGATGTTTGTAATCCTTTTTTTTTAAATCAAAAGGAAAAAAAATAGGGGTTTTTCTTAATGTGGTTTATCATGGTTTGATATCATAGGTCTAGGAAGGGAAGCTCAAAGTCCAAATAAAAGGACTCACCAGCATGACAATGAAACAAACCTCTGTTCTAAACAACTCCTACTACAATCACGCAATAACAGCAGACCGAGTATTTAGGCCAAAAGTCTCACCTCGTACTCAACATCACCATTCATGATCCATGCTAGCAAGGCGGATCACACGCTTCATCTTCTCAGCACCTGGCATATCCAAACCTATCATACCGCTCTCAGCAATAGCCCTATGCAGTCTGATGCCTGCGTCACGAAGCTGGCGTTGCTTGACATCGACATGATGCTCCTGATTCACAACGAGACCCGCACTCTCGAGGGAAGGATCATAAAACGGCGAATCCGGTCGCGTTGAGTTGAGTGAAAAAGGACTCGGAGGTGGAACACAAACAGTGCCGGACACTGGTATCTCTCCCATATGAAGATAGTTTCTCACGCGTTCGAAAACACAACTATCAGGTCCAGACAGCGTGCAGTGACCCGCATGGTCACTTACAAGTAGACTGCTGCCGGGAAATAGGTTACTCATATACCGACCACTGTTGAGCGGAGTAACAGGGTCTGCTGTGTTAGATATAAATAAGATGGGGTTAGAAGTATTACTAGCACCAAATGAACCTTGGAATCTATGGCTCGCACGGATATTCCATGCTGCACAGCGCATTCGGAGCATGGACCAGTAGGCGCCGAAGGTGGGCGATACGGATTCTACAAGTTTCCAGTAAGCGGCAAATTCGTCTTTTGTAAGATAGCCCTGTTCAACGCCGTCGCTGCAGAGAATGGAGATTGTGGATACAACGGAGGAACTTGGGTCATCGGAATCAGAGACATGGCCCGTTGGACAAGAGTATACGTGGGTGTAGCGGTAGGCTTGAGCTAGCTGGTTGAGTTCACTGCCACTTCCTGCCTCAATGGCTGCAAGGATCCGGGAAATGTATGGAAACATGACGCGAGGTTGGTACACGGAGCTGAATAGCAGCATCTTGATATCAGACCATGTGAGAAATTCAGGCCCGTCGAGCGAAACGATTTGGAGTGGGTCGTGATACAGAGAGTCTACAATTCGCAGGACGCGCTTTTGAATATCGGTGACATTGGAGTTTACCGTTGCTAATTGGCAGTGCTTGGGGCCAGAGTTGAAGCAAAACGTGTAAAAAGACGATAACGCTTTCTCAGAGTCTACAAGACTCCCATTGCCTTGCGAGTAATTGTATTCGTATGAACTGACGACTCCGTCAAGGACCAAACGCCCAACACGGTCAGGAAACATGGAAGCAAATGTGTATCCGAGGTAGGTCCCATACGAGAAGCCCCAGTACTGCAACTTGGCTTGTCCTGGAACATATGCAGTGTTGTGATACACACGCTGCTTGGCGGAATCTCGAGCGACGATCTGAGCGACCTCGTGTGCAACGTATTCGGCGTGCTTCTCGGCAATCTCGAGCATGTCTCGGGCAACAAATGCTGTGGACATGTATCGCTTGATGTCCGGACCGCTCTGGCCTTGATCGGCAAGTTTGCAGGATGCACCGAAAGCATGCGTCATGGACCAGAGTCTCCCGAGGGCTGCATCTGAGCTTCCAAGAAGGCCTTCATCAGCTTCCCTTAAATTCCAGGACCATGCTGAAGGGCGATCTGGCATACATCGTGCAGCAGGTTCTGTCCGACCAATGCCACGAGGGTCGAATCCAATAATATCAAAGTATTTTGCATCACTAGACGCAACGTTTGGAGGATCGTCCGAGTCGACAAGAAGTTGTAGTGCTTTTCCTGCAGTGAGGGCAAACGCGGCGCCTGCTCCACCTGGCCCACCGGGATTTGTCAAGATAGGACCACCATAACGTGGATCACTAACTGGCACTACAGCAGGTACCTTTGTGATGGCGATGCTGACCGTGTGATTAGGGTAGGTACCGTTGAAGTAGTCCAATGGCAACTTTAGTTTGGCGCATTCAAACCCGTTGAAGCATTTGTGGAACTGCAGATGTTCACTCGGCGATATCTGGGCCTTGATTAATTGATGTTTTTTTTCTTGGTTGAATCAAGATGAGATTGAAGCGGACTACCCAAGGCAGTGGAAAAATCAATGAGAAACAGTGGGATGCACTAGTTTGCAACAAGCAGCTCGTCTAGGCAAAGTATTTCTAGAGCAGAGTAGCGGTCTGGTGCAGGACTTGGCAGTGGAATATTGTTCCGGTATGAGAAAGGGTGAGTGCAGGGTGAGTGCAGACGCACGTGAAAGGTGCGATGTGACGATGAGCAAATGGACTGTTGCCTACCTCGTCCCATTCAAAAGCAGGCTTTTCCTGCAGAGGCAAGAGGACATGCCGTGTCTTGGATGCAGGAAATAGAGTGTTGAGGGCGGCGAGGCACACGAGAGTGACCAAAGCCGCCGATAGGACAGGCGAAGCAGTTTGGGGCCATTGAGGGTGGACAGGGGCGGCGGCTTGGTCCGACGCTATTCGATTTTTCATATTGTGGATGCTTTTGTTGTAGGGCAAGCAGCTATGGCCGAAGCAGTAGGGTAATCCAGACGTAATTGACTATGCTGCGTAATCGGCGATGGGGTAAATACAGCTGGGTGGTAGGGAAGAGGGAAGGATGCGGGGTCGGCCAGGCAGTCCGTCAGGCAGTGAGTGAGGCGTGTGCCTCGCTAGGGAGGGAGTAGGTACACTTTGGGGCCTGTCGGTCACAGTCATCAGTAAACATGGCCTTTGCCAGGCGGCGGCAGCAACAGGAGCAACAGCAGCAAAGCAAAAGCAACCACCAAGGGTCTGCATGTGCGTGAGGGCAGCCCCGTCGCCCCGTCGCCCCCTCTCCATGGCCGTGCAGACAGTTGCATTCACCAGACGCGTCTTTTTCTGCAGCTTGAGCGAAAATGGTCAGCGACTAGGTATGCAGCATGCAACGACCGTCACAATGCGTGCTTTTAGCCGAACTCGAGCCTGCACTTGCAGCCTCTGGGCATTGCGTCGTCGTGCACAAGAGCGGATTATGCATCCACATGTGTATGTGTGTGTAGAATAGAGTAGAGTGCAGAATGCAGAGTGCGTGCAAGCCGCCATGGCGATCGGAGCACCGTCTGCTCCCGATGTTTTCTTCTGCTGTCTAGGTACCGCAGAGCCTCAATGCCGTTTGCATGCTGATGACACCTACTCCCTTCCAAATCCAGCACAGCCATCCAGACGAACCCCCAATTGGGCATGCACGCAAAGCGGCCAAGGCCATGTAGAAGCAGTCAACGAAACTTTGTAAATAGACCAAAGTCATCTGCATATGACAAGGACAGAGCAGCAGCACCTCCTGACTCAATGGGTATCTCATCTCTCAGTACCAACCACCCCCTCATTGCCATCCCCTAACATTACATATCACGCTCATGCAAAACCGCCGCGCCCGGAACCCCCCTCGTCATCTAGACACAGGTCTAGACCCAAGGGCCACCTCCAGCCGAGGCTAGCAAGGTAATTCGCATCCCTCACAGGACCTACTCCAAGCACAAAATCGCGGGGCAAAGAAAGAAGCCGACAGGCTCTCTACCACTGCTGCTGGCCTTGGCCGCCTTCTTGTCCGCCATAGCCTCCTCCCTGGCCACCACCGCCATAGCCACCGCGGGATTGGTAACCTCCGCCGCCTTGCGAAGGGCCCCAGTTGCCACCGCCGCCGTACCCTTCTTGTATAGTCAGATTATCAGTCACCACAGAGGACATGTTGAAAGCTTACCACGGCCGCCGCCTCCACCATAGCCTAGTAGTATAGTTAGTAGGATTTCAAAGCGTCTGCACTGTGGAATCCTTACCTTGGCCTCCACCGTAACCTCCACGGTATCCGCCTCCTCCTCCTCCTCCTCCTCCTCCATAACCTCCGCCGCGGGGAGCACCACCGCCACCACCACCAGGGCGGTCTGAGGCCTTGTCGACACGGATCCTACGTCCGTCGAACCTAAAAAAAAAGTCAGCGCGTTCCTTGTGCTGGCCAGGGCATGTATCCAAAGCCTCTCAGACGAGGACATGAGATGAGTGGACTGCATACTCCTCGTTGTTCATGGCTTGCATGGCAGCATCGGCCTCAGTCTCCTGCGCATAGCGAACAAAGCCAAAGCCTCGGCTGCGACCAGTATCGCGGTCCTTGACGACAACCTGCAGTGGACTAAGTATGACATGTGTGCATCATGGTCGACAGTGGTGGGCCGTCAGTGACTTACAGCTTCTTCGACTGGGCCGAACTCTTCAAACTTTGAGCGCAAAGTCTGGTCGTCGGTATGCCAGGCAAGGCCTCTGCTATAGGTCAGCCACGTGGGGACTGCGACTGCTGAAGGACTGCACACTTACCCAATAAAGAGCTTGGCCATGTTGGGGGGCGATGTCTTGATCGAACACTGAACGGTCTCAATAGTGGCTCTCGCAAGTCAAAGCAATGCGCGCGCGATACAGAAAAGCTCAAGACATGGATTGACAGGAAGAGGTGTGGTGCATGACAAAAGGAGAGGCCGAGCAAGACTCGGAATCCATGGCGGCTTCTTGAGCAGGCAGTAGTAGGTAGCAACGTGACAGGACGAACATTTGGTATAGTAGGTAGCACGGGGCTGGATGCACTTGGTGTATGTGTATGTGTGTGTGTGAGTAAGTGTATGTTTGGTTGAAAGGAAGAGGGTAAGAAGAGTAAGGGCGATGGCGCAAGACAGACGGACGGACGGACGGGCAGAGGAGCACAAATGGCGACAGTGTGAGTGTGTGGGTTTGGCGGGGCAGGCAATGTGATATGAGTACCCCTCCAGTGTGGCAGGTGAAAGAGCGCTAGCTGTATCCAAGTCGACAGGACGGACGCACGGACGGTTGCCAGTGGACAGTGAGTGGGCAGTGAGTGGGTGGGATGAAGAAAGCAAGAGGCAGAGGCAGAGCCAATGCCAATGCCAATGCCAATGCCCGCCCAATGCAACGTACGGCTCTTGCAGCCACGGTGTTTCGCAGCCGGGAGATGCCCTGCAGGCTGCAGCTGACAATGACGGCAGCAAGAGACTGGCTCTGCCTCGCACTCACACTCACGTCGGTTGACAGGCAGGTTCGCCCTAGTGTGTCCCGTGTCTGTCTGTTCATGCTGGGGATATGCAGGCCGTGTCTAGCTCGAGCCTAAGCATTGCCCAATTGCAGGGTTGTCGGCGAGCCAGAGCAAAGCCAGACCAGACGAATTTTCTGATAGGTGCTCCTGCCTGCCCGTTGCTGTTGCTGCCATGCCCCTCCCCCTCCCCCCTGGCCCATGGGCTTTCTCTGCCTTGCACCTGTGCTTGGTCGCGACACTGCCGGCATGCCCTCAACACTGCCATTGGCCCGCCGCGACATGCCAGTCCAGGTGCATCCAATGCGAATGCCTGCTCCCTGCGCCGCGAACATGTTGGCTACTACTCAGCGCAGCAGTGATCTTCGCCCGTGGCTTTGGTCCACGTCGCGCACTGTCGTCCCAAACCCCCAACCAAGCCCGGGTATTGGACACAGGGTGGTGGTTCAAAGAAGCTTATCAAGTCGCCATCACTAGTCAGATGCTGTGGGGATCGGGCCTAAACCCTCTCGGCCTTTGATAGCTCGCACTCGCCACCATTGCGCCAGCAGATGATCTACTTTAGCGTAAGTACCCTACCCGTGCTCTCCTGTACCCAACTAATGCTAACACTAAGTACAATACCCACGGCCTCGACGCTTGTCTATATCTGTCTTCTCTTGAGAGGGGGGGCTACCAAAATACTTCTTCACCCATCATAAATGCATGCATGTCTATAAACCCACTCATTCAAAATACATGCGCACCATGCACCCTCGACGTAGCCGCAACCTCATCGCGCCGTCTTCACGCTGACTGGCTCCTTGGCATCAAACGTCGGCTGGCGGCATGCAATCTATATAATATGTACTCACGGCACGAATGCTGCCCTCCCGGACCTGCCACATATCCTGCCACATCCTGCCACATCCTGCCCCATACTCCAGCACGCACACTGTACCAAACAACCCAACCAAGAGTAAAATTCCCCTTCTCAATCCGGATCCCGTCTGTTTGTAAATGACTCACGCCTGCACGCCGGCTGGACTCGGCTCTTGCTGCTGTTAAAGCAGCGCGCACAGGTCTACAATTCTAGCAGGGCTTGCCCCAGAATTGTCCCACAGCCATCATATCAAGCTACCACAGCATGTCTCGTTATCTAGGCCGGAAACAGGTGGTGAATCACGATGCCGCTCCTGCCCAACACATGTTGCAAACATGGCAGCCTCCCCTCCTCTCTATCTGACCCGTCGTGCCTTCCCTCCCATGAGACAGACACTAGCCAATTGTCCTTGTCCATATCCATCGTACCTACCTTGAGCTCTACGCATGTGTCACCACCCTCTCCCTCCAACGGCAGGCACGTCTCAGGTCGGGCGGGCAATTTCTCATCGCCCCTCCCCTCTTCCATGTCCAACATGGAACCACCTCCGCCAGACCACCTGACAACACTCGAATACAATGACACATTGAATAGCACCATATCCACTCATTATTAGAAGCCCTGAAACACTACACGTATATCCAACAGCCCACCATGGACATCCTCAAGTGGCTGGAGGAGACAGAGCAGCACAAAGCCCCTCAGGTTGCTTGTAAGCGCAAGCGTTTGCCAAAGCGAGCAAAGTCGGACAGCTCTTTACTCGAACCTCTACCTTTGCAGGATTCCCCTGTCCAGCAAAGGGTGAGAAAACAAATTGCCAGTGATGTTCTCGATGCTTCATCTAGTACCTCCTCGACGAGCAGTCGGTATGCTCGCAAACCCAGGCGGAAGACACGTCCTGAACGCTACGAGCCACACAAGTCCGAACACGCAGGACCTAACAAGTCTTCGAAAAAAGCACGACACAAGTCGAGACGGAGGAAGGTTGAGAAGCCTGGCCAAGTAGTGCAAAACTTCAAAGCCAAGAATGTATCAGGGGATCGGCTGACTGTATGATCTCCATACAGCGGCATCCCAGAAGCACACCCAACAACACGGCACTGTACTGATCGCTGTTACAGTTGAGGCCTTCCGAGCCGGGCTTATTCAACAAGGGTCGGACATCGATGGCAGTCCGAGGCCGTGGCTGTAGGTGTTCCAGAGCCACCACAGACACCCAGGTCTACTTGAAAACAGAATGCATCCCAATCCAACTGACATTGAGACAGTGCCCGATCTTGTCTTTTCCGAAATGAAGTTTTTGCAAAAACACGATGAATCCAAGCCCCCGCCCCAGACGGATGTTCCCGGGAAGAAGCGCAAGATAGATCACACGCACACCAATGGCGGAGAGATTTCCAGCTTCTTCACCACAGGGCGACATATACTGGCGCAAAAGGTTCAAGACAAGCCCGCTGGCCATAGTAGCGTACGTGAGAAAAAGCGGCATCATCAAAACTGTAGGGCGACGGTTGATATGGCGATACCCACTGTCGAGTCTGCTGATCGAGTGTCGTTTCCACATTTTGATAGTCAGCACCCTCGACGCGGTAGTACTAGTTATGTGTCCTGGTCTGAATCCATTCGAGAACGGAGCACCACGTCAGCACACCACCAAGCTGATGATGACGCGCCTCATGACTGGCATGACTCGGATCGCTATGGATATTGCAAGCCCAAGACGAAAAGGCCAGAGAGAACTTTCAAACAGTCAGAGCTTCCTTCAGTCGCCAGGCAGACTACGGACAATACAGCAGGATGTTCCAGAGTATCTTCACTCGCTCCATCTCACAGTAGAGTGTCCAGACTGCAGTCCTGTCCTCAACAAGCGTCGTCTCCAAAGCGAGTGAACCTCGTAGACCGCTCTGCAAAGCTTCAAACCACTGGTACAGCTTACTCATCCTCATCAATGCCACCTGTCGTGCCCCCCTATCCGAGTATAGACGCGGGTCCAGGTTTGGCGGCAGACCGCTCAAACAGTCCAAGATTTGGGAAGCCGTCAAGTCTAAGAAAGGAAACACGACCCGTCAGCCAGCATCAGAATTCAGACGACGGCTACAACAACTACGGCGAAGAAGAAGAGACGTCTTCAGACCTAGAGAAGGTTCTCCAAGTCTGCAAAGATACCCTCTACAACCAACATGGGGCAGCTCCGTCACCGAGAAATGGCGCCAACAGATCAGAACAATTACCTCCGATGCAAGTAGCAGACCGATCACGCAGGACAAGTTCGCGTATGCCGACGCAGCGCATGCCTACTGTACGGTTTGCTGAGCTGCCGGTTCAATATCATGTACAACCGACGTTTGCTGGCCCTAGTATCTATGAACAACAGGAACAACACCGATATCCGCCATTGGAGGTTTCGGGCAATGAAGCCCTCGGCGACGATGCATGGGCTTTCGAGCAGGAGCGCATGGACGATGACATGGAAATGTGTTACGACGATGATGGTGATTGGAATGATACAATAGAGGAAAGCATGCTGAATGAGTTGGGAGACAGCAGGAAAATGTGTGTGGCTGATGGGGCCTTTGCGGCAGAGCACACGAGGGAGGATTCTTGGCCCAGCAACCATCATGTGGCCCCTGGGTTCTGGCGGCCAAATAAGTTGTATTGAAGCCGAGAGGGCTGCATCACGTTAATGCCATATTGCTTATGAATGCCATGTACCTCACCGGACGGCAATGACTCGAGTGTGCATAGATGTCAAAAGCATATGTAGACGCATGGACGATTGCTGCGAGGGCCTCACAGATGATTTGATACATGTCCAGAAGGTTGCTTGGTGCTGGCAAGAGTTGCACACACACACACGGTAGGCTAGCGGGCAAAGTGGGCGGTGTGTCTGTGCACTCCCACTGGCAGCTGGGGGGAAGCTCGGGCATGCGCTCCACAGCGTCGTCGTTTTTCTATCCTCGGGCCTGGGCTATCGTACGGAAAGCACATGCACATCGGCTATGCTTTGACCCCCGTCTGGAATCAGATTGCCTATATGCCCGCCCATCGCGCTGTGTTGCAGCTCCGTCCTGGCCGTACACTAAGCTCTCGGCCAATATTTCCTTTTCACCTGTCGTTGGCTGTCTCATGCAGACAGCCAGCGGTGACGTTCGTCACAGTGGCGCCGCCATCCCAACACAGCTCCCCGCCTGCCGGCAGCCCCACTAGACCCCTCAACGACAAAATCAACTCGAGGGCTCGTCTACTAGCAGGCCATCTAAACAACACCCCGTCCTCTTCCACAGCTCTCCACACAGCTGCCACGAAGACGCCGCCCGCCATGTCTTACACCACCCGCAAGATTGCCGCAGCTAACACGCTCGAGCACCGCATCTTCATCGAGAAGGACGGCCAGCTCGTCTCGCCATGGCACGACATCCCCCTCTACGCCAACGAGCAGCAGACCATCCTCAACATGGTCGTTGAGGTGCCCCGCTGGACCAATGCCAAGATGGAGGTATGCAGCCTGCAATTGACCCTCACAGTTGTCTCGAGAATGCAGCACGCTGACCCTGTGTCCAGATCTCCAAGGAGGAGCCCCTCAACCCCATCAAGCAGGACATCAAGAAGGGCAAGCTCCGCTACGTGAGGAACTGCTTCCCCCACAAGGGCTACCTCTGGAACTACGGTGCCTTCCCCCAGGTACGATGATGCGATCCCGATATCGGCCTCTACACACACACATACGAATACTGATGCTGCATAGACCTGGGAGGACCCCAATGTCGTCCACCAGGAGACCAAGGCCAAGGGCGACAACGACCCGCTCGACGTGTGCGAGATTGGTGAGCTCGTCGCCAAGCCCGGTGAGGTTATCCAGGTCAAGGTCCTTGGTGTCATGGCTCTGCTCGACGAGGGCGAGACCGACTGGAAGATCATGGTCATCAACGTAAACGACCCATTGGCCCCCAAGCTCAACGACGTCGAAGATGTCGAGCGCCACCTGCCTGGTCTCCTCCGTGCCACAAATGAGTGGTTCCGTATCTACAAGATCCCAGATGGCAAGCCTGAGAACCAGTTTGCCTTCTCTGGCGAGTGCAAGAACAAGAAGTACGCCATGGACATTGTCCGCGAGTGTGCCGAGGCTTGGGAGAAGCTCATCACTGGAAAGACCCCCAAGGACGAGATCAGCCTGTATGTGTACATCAATCCTCTCTCTGATTGTTACTAATTGACTGGCAGCACCAACACCACCGTTTCAAACTCGCCAGACCGCGCTGACTCCGGCTCGCTCAACATTCCCGCTGGCGAGAACAAGGCACCTGCCCCCATCGATCCCAGCATTGACAAGTGGTTCTACATCTCTGGTGCTCCATCCAACTAAGTCCAGCGGATGCCCGCCATGGCTATGGAGTGAATTTCGGGCAAGCGGCAATGTGCGATACTGCATCGACAATGTCTGATGGCTAGCTTGGATGTCTTCTATGGCAAATGCCGCGGCAATGGTAGATACAAGTGCATCACGTACCAATACGCATTAGTAGAGAGAAAAAATAGTAGAAATCATGAAATCGTTTTGCGAAAGCCCTAGCGAAAAAGCCCCCATGACGCCAGCCTGTAATCTTTGTGGACGTGTATATGTACAATTGTTTGCATAAAATTAGGTCTCTAATTGCCTGCTAGCTCCTCTTTTCGTGCCAGTGACCGTGAGTGTCTATCTACCTCCTCGACGACTTGTGGGATGCGCATGTTTGTGAGATCCAGGTTCATTTCCTTGCCATCTTCTGTGCATATGGGTTAGCCTGTGTTCTGCAAACCAGGCCAGTGATACATACTGAACTTGACACCCAAGGTTGCGGGCTCCTTGCTGTGTCGTGGTAGCATCTTAGACTCAACCTTCATGCCATCTGAGCGCGCATCCGGTGGTATGAGGGAGAGGAAGAGGCGGGCGGGTTTTGAGTGTGGGGAGAAGGGATTGAAGGTTACGCGAACGTCGGTAAGAAACCTGGTAATCATGATGGCGACAGAAAGGCAAGGCCTGTCGAGACAGTATGTTAGCAATTGCTGAGTGGGCGAAGATGCGACGACGTACCAGTGAATGTCCAGTAGGAGAAGGTCGAAATCGCAATGGCCGTCCTCAATCTCTCCAGTCGCACTTCCGCCATGAGTCCGTGCTCGAGATTTCCTGTCAGGCTACGGCGGGTGGTTCAGACACGTTGCGCTCTTCCCCCCCACCAAATAGCCCGCCGTACGTACCGCCTCCGTCATAGGGCAACTTTCATACAGCCACCGTCGCTCTCCGCATTCCGAGCCTCACCATGGCTCCTATTCCCTCCACCACCCAATCCCTAACCACACGCCTAACCGCCCTCGCCGAATCCAACAAGGCTGTCGGTCAGCTCATACAGCGCCTCGCCAAACTAGACTTCCAGCCCGGCTCACAGCCACTAGACCCTACAGAGGGTGAAGTGAGGTTGGAACTAGGCGCCGAGATACACGAGACACTCAAGGGAATCGAGGAGGAACTTGAGCTTCTGAGGCAAGAAGTTGAGGACATTACTCAGGGCGGCATTGCTGGTCGAAGAAGAGACAGTAGTAAAGAGAGTGAGAGGAGCAGACTAGCAGTACTACTTGCGAGATTGACCGAAGACTTGAAATCGTAAGTGGGCCGATACTATGCTTCTCAGAGATTTTGTCTGGTAGTCACTAACACAATGCACGTCTGCAGTTCACGAGCGCAGTATCGCAAGGCCCAGCTCACTGCTAAACACAACGCCGACCGCGCAAAACTCAAAGAGCGCGAACTACTCTTCTCCAACCTACAATCAGGCTCCTCCACCCCTTCGTCTACATATCGCCAAAGAAGACAGCAGCAAGGAACGTCAGAAGGCGACATCGTTGCTCAGGCCTCTTCGGACGTTACCGCTGCCCTACGTAGGACACACCAGTTGATGAGAGACGAGCTTTCACGCTCTCGATTTGCACAAGAGACACTTGAACAATCCACTGCTGCACTTGAAAACCTTGGCGACAATTACTCGGATCTCAACACTTTGCTAGCGAATAGCAAAACTCTAGTATCGACGTTGCTGAAAAGCCAAAAGAGTGACACGTGGTATCTGGAAACTACTTTTTACGTCTTGATAACAACTGTCATCTGGCTCGTTTTCCGACGTTGGTTGTACGGACCTCTGACGTGGTTTGTTTTCTGGCCGCTCAAGCTTGCCTTCCGCATCCTTTTTGCCGTTGCCCCAATCGGCGCTGCGTCATCAGCTGTAAGTTCAAGCGTCGCAGCATCTTCGTCGTCGTCGAGAACCCTAGTTGTTCAGCCTAGCGCAGCTGGTGGCATTCCCCGGCGCGAACCCAACGGCCAACCACACTATATTCCTGTCGGCCGTGGAGGACCGAAACAGGATCAAGACCCCAGTCCACCGGGTTCATATTCGCAGCAAGTTGGCAAAATGGCGGAACAAAGCCAGCAGCAACAGCAACAGCAAGAGGAGGTGCCTGACCACCCACAGTTTAGGCAACCTAGGAAAGACGAAGATGATGGACCGGTCACATTGGGTGATGGAACGGTACTCAAGGAAAGCAGTAAGCCAAGGAATCCAAAGAAGAAGATGTGGGATGAGGATGTTGAGCAGAAGAAGTTGCAAGAGGAGCAACAGCAACATGAACAACAGCAGGAGGCTAGTGGTGAGCGGAATCATGATGAACTCTAAGTTGCTGTTGTTATTGTAGTGGTAGTAGTATTAGTACATTAGAGAGTGTGGTTTTATCAAATTCTATATTAATCATTCTTTTCTTTAATGTGTACTGCCAAGTTTAGTTTGCTTGTAAACATTATTTTTTTTCATTCGCACAGTATATGATATTATTCATCATCAAAACCACTTGGACATTAACAATTCAAAGTCTCAAGTCATGGAAAAAAAGGTAATTATTTTTCTCTCTTTTCATCGTTAGAAACCGCCCTACCATGATGGCTAGACCCAATCATATATATGTATCTATCTATTCTCACAAAAGTTGCTTCGTGAACCTCATACTGACGCAAACTGGAGAAAAACACTCTTTCCTTCCCTCCCTCCCATAAAAAAAAGCTCAAAAAAGGAACGCCATAAGATGCATGCCCTAGCTAGAATGCTATCTATCCATGGGACTTTTGTAGCCGAAAAAAAACGAAGAAGAAAAAAAAAAGGGGGAGGGGGGGGGGGAAGACAGAGAGAGAGACAAGAGATGAATCAAGCGTTGCCATTGCCAATCTTGGCGCCAACAACCGCCTTCTCCAACGCGGCAACAACATCAGCTACGAGATCCGTCTCATCCTCGACACCACAGCTGATGCGTACAAGATCATCAAACACACCGGCGGCCTCGCGCTGCTCCTTGGGGATACCACCGTGCGTCATGGCACTGGGGACCTCAACCAGCGACTCGACGCCACCGAGCGACTCGGCAAGGGTGAAGATTTTGGTGGCCTGGCAGAAGCGCTCAGCAGCGGCGTGGCCGCCGTGGATGCGGAAGGAAAGCATGCCGCCGCCCATGCCGTCGCGGTGCTGCTTGAGCGCAATGGTGTGTTGCGGGTGTGACTTGAGGCCTGGGTAGTTGACTGAGATGACGTGGGGAGAAGCCTCGAGGGCTTTGGCTACGCCCGTGGCGTTCTTGGTTGCCTCGCGGGCGCGCAGGTGAAGCGTCTTGAGGCCGCGGTGGGCAAGCCAGCAGTCGAAGGCCGAGGGGACGGCGCCAATGGCGTTTTGGAGGAAGGAAAGGCGCTCGTAGAGCTGCTCGGAGTTGAAGGCTGCGGCGCCCATGACGACGTCGGAGTGGCCGTTGATGTATTTTGTGACGGAGTGGACGACAATGTCTGCGCCGTGGTCGAGCGGGTTCTGCACGTAGGGGCTCATGAAGGTGTTGTCGACGACGACCATGATGCCGTGCTGGTGGGCGATGGTCGCGACTTTGCGGATGTCGACGAGGGTGAGCGTGGGGTTCGAGGGCGACTCGATCCAGATGAGCTTCGTGGTTGGGCGGATGAGCTCAGCAATGTCGATTTCGATGCTCGGACTGAAGGTCACCTTGACGTCGTGCGTCAGGGCGACCTTGGTGAAGTAGCGGTGCGTGCCGCCGTAGACATCCGACACAGATACGACGTGTGAGCCTGCGGCGAGCGATTGCAGGATGTTGGCTGTGGCGGCAGAGCCAGAGGAGTAGGCGAGCGCATAGCGGGCGTGCTCGAGGGCTGCAACGGCCTTTTCAAAGTTGTCTCTGTAAAGATACGAGTTAGTCGTGATTCCTGGGCTTCATATCTTTCCAAAATACAAAAAAACGTACCGGTTGGGGTTTGAGGAGCGTGAGTACTCGTACTCGCCAACGGGCTGGCCAACACTGGTCTGTGCAAATGTGGTGGAAAGCGAAATCTATGATATCATCAGCCAATTGCTCTCATAACGCATCAGATAATACTAAGGGGAAAAAAAAGACATACAGGCTCAATTACAGCGCCAGTAACAGGGTCGTGAGGACTTCCAGCGTGCACGGCCAGAGTTCCAAATCTGTGGATTGGCGAGGCCGGGCGTGGCGGGGTATCGATAGGGTGGTCGGCCAGCGTCATGGTTGTAGGGTTCTTGGGAATTCTTTTTGCGTAAAGTATGACGAACTGTGACGGCGACAGAAGAGAGACTATTCGACTTGGGATGAAGAGTCGTGCGTAGATGGAAGCAATGGGATGAAGAGGGAAATTGTCTTTTTTTTTCGAAAAAAAAAATCCAGAGACGAGGGCTTGACCGGGTTGATATATATGGGGGTCTTCTATGGTGGAGGAATATGTACTTTGTTCCGAGCGAGGAATGCTAGCGCAGAACAAACGCCGTACTTGGGCGGTCTGGGTCTTCGGGTTGGTCAGAGAAATCACGTCTTTCAGGGTCAGACGCGCAGACGTGACAGAAATTTTCTTTCACAATAAAAAATAGTTTTGGAGTTGAGGGAATCCACTGGCTGGGTGGGCTTTTTTTCTCGCCCGACCCCTCTGATATATATATACATATATACGTATACTGTTGCACGCTCCGCCAGGCGACGGCCCGTTTGCTCGTCCGACATTTCTCAGCAACAGGTGCATTATTCAGACTGGGGTTGGCGTACACACAGATGCAGGCCGCTCGAATGGCGACATCAGGCTCGGCACCAGGGCGTGTAGGTTTGGTGAGCAAGCGGGGATGGTGTCATAGTCTATCCGCCTTGCGACGGCCTTGGCGCCCGGTCGCTGCGGATTACACATGGCGCCCTGCCACTGCTCGGGCGAGAGATTGGTAATACGTAAGGACATATGCAGTGCACTACACCCATAGACGCTTGTATATCCGTTACTTGATCATTCGAACATGTCTGCCAACCATTTCTCCGCCTGCCTACTGGTACATACATACTTGCGCATACACACGAGTCACCACCATCACCTCGTCTACTAGTATGCGTCATCCCCGGGCCTACTCTTGAGCTTAACGTAGCCGCTTACACCCTTCTTCCGCCCTGCCTGCTCCCCTTCAGATGCATCACCCTTGCGTAACCCTACAGACTTTCCATTGGCCATGTTCGAAGTGAGATAGCTCCGTCCATCGTCTAAGCCCGTATTGCCTCGTCGCTTCTCTCCAACAACGACCGGATCCTCGGCAATCAAGTTCTCCATATCCTCCCATTCCTTCTGGTTCAGCACATCCCATTCCTGCGCCTGTTGCTCGGCAAGCAAGAACGCCTTGAGCTCGTCAACTACCTTTGTAGGCGATAGGCCCCATCCGCTAATGTAGTTTGCATTCTCCGCCATGCCCAGGTAGGAATGTGATGTTGCATGTGACAGCTGCCCAAACCCCACAGGCGTCTTTCGAAGTATAAACCGGGATGACTTTGATGTCGTGATATCCTTGTCAAATGCGTTCTCCAGCCGCTGTGCGTTGTATGACTCTTGCGCAATAAGCAGTCTGTACAGATTGCGACCCATCGAACACGTATCTTCCCACTGCTTGAAGCTGTCCTTCATACCCTGAGTCCGACAGAGCCACGCTACATTGTATGCCAGCAGCGAGACACCTTCGATAAACGACGAATAAGCAGGGGGATCCTCGGCAGAGAGATGGCTCAAAGGTCGATCGACAAACAGCGTACGGGGCTTAGGGAGGTGTATGCGTGCCTCAAGCGTGCGAGAGGCCTCTGGGCTGGCATTTGATGAATGTGAAGGCGTTGACCCAGGAAAAGGTACCTTCTTTCCTTGGTACGACGATGCTGGACTAAAGATGGTCGGTTGTGGATAATCACTATGGGGAAGTGTAATTTCGGCCGGAAGACGGATCCCCAGGTAGGCCGCAACGCGGACGAGAAGCTGAGCCACAGCAGCCAGTGAGGCAGACAGGCCGTCTGGAGGTACATCTGCGCAAAGGTTAGTATGTTGCCATATTGACTAATCGTCCGAGCCATACCATTCAGATCCCGGAGGTCGTGTATCCGTAGGCGTGAGCCGGGCCCAATGTTGAAGACCTCCTTGATGCTGCCATCTCTGGTCTTTCGCCGCTGCATCTTTAGACCCGCAAGCTTCGCAGCAGTCGTGCACAGCTGCATGCGCAAGTCTATCGTATCGTGATGCATCTTGTCCGCATTGTAGTCCAGCCTCTTGATCTTTTGCTGGACTTTATCCAACTCATTCGCCCGTCGCGACTCGATCCCATATGTGGCTGAAGAAAGGTCCGACTTTCGCTGCGCGTTGGCTGCGCGTTTCGCCTCGAGTAGCTTTCGTGTGGCATCGATCTGTTCGCGAAGTCTATTCGTATGCTCTGATATATCCCTCACTCGCTCCTGTATTTCTGTCGTCTCGGCCTTTGTCCTTTCCCAGTTTAGATTATTTGTGCATTCCTGCCTATCGACCAAAAGTCCTCCCTTGGAGTCCACCAGCGAGACGTGCTGTATCGCCTGGTCCTCGGAGCCGTTTATGATTGCCTTGACATGCTTCTCGACGCCATCACGGTCTATCAGCGTCCTTGCGAGCTCGATGCGGGGCTGTTCGAGGTATGAGCGGGCGCATGTCATGCAGTGGAAAGGCTGGCTGGGGCCGCCGGTTTTCCCGCAGATGTCGCAGTCCATGGCGAAAAGGTGTGTTAGGTGATATCGCCTTCAGAGATTTCGTAGTGTGGTGGGAATGGACGGTACAGCGAGACCATGGTGAGTGTTTGGCCGCGGTGGGTTGGCAGCAGCCTACGTATCCATGGAGATCGGCCAGTAAGGTGACCTGTGAAGAAAATACAAGCTACGTGAAGGGGAGCTGTTTGTGGTATGTGCAGGTGAGGGTGAATGGGAGAGCACCGAGAAGGCGCGCAAAGGAAATAGGCAGCGTGACTGAGGCGGTACGGTACTATCTAGAGACCGGCGCGAGTCGCGAGTCAGACGCACCTTCCAACGTCATGCCGCGACTGACCAAATCCTTATCGCGCCAGGCACGTGGTGTACACAGCATATCCCCAAACAACACCGGGAAACACCGGATTGTGTTTTATTCAAAGGCTATCAAATCTATATGCACGCGTCAAATACCGTCTTGATGGTGATACGACAGCGCTGCAATTACTCTACTGCTAACCCACAGCACTAACCGCCGCCACAACCATCGCGAATGAACAGCACCTCCGACACCGAGCGTGAACCCTTTTCCCCAAGTCACACCTTGCCGGCTCTACCCTCCTCGCCCCCTGTACTGACACCCTTTCCCAACACTCAAGGCATGGATAATGATCCGGAATCCGAGGCTGAGCCCCGAAGGCAGGATGCTCGCCCACCGCATAGACGAGTAGGCTCCGATGAGACGGAACGGCCACACTCAGCTCAGCAAACCCAACATGATACCGACAGTCGCATTAGCGAAACCAGCGATGAAGAATCCGACGAGGATGATTCAGACCCGGCGCACAGAATCGGCGACTTCGACTGGGAGGACCTGCATCATCGGTACCACGAGGCTATGAAAAGTTGCCACAGCGAGGAAGCAGCGTTGATGGAGGAATGGGAAAGCCTCATGACTGTAATTTCTACTGCTCCTCAAAACAGACGCAAGATGCTGATGCCCTTCTGTCTAGTACTTCCGCGTATGGGCGCAATCAGGACATGAGCATGAGACGGATCGTACATATTCAAGGTGGGTCCTACGCCCAATACCTCCATCGTCCGATGTCCTACTAAACTCTACCTCAGGCTCTGTACGCGCACTGCCTATGTTCAGCACTCGGAGGATACACTTGAGCAGAAGCGAAACCACTGTATGCTAGCTTTGATTTTATTTCTCTTTCAAACTTGACGTATACTAATGTGACACAGACATCAGCGTAGTGAGGGCCTTTGAAAGTGCGCTCAACCTTCTCAAAGCCAGTGGCCTGGGGCGCTGATGCTCGCCAACTTAGATGACATCTATCTCGCCCATCATCCGCCTCAACCGGCAGTCTTGCAACGAAATATATCGAACGGTGAGGTGACGTTGTCTACTAGACGGTTGGTGCGTTCGTCAAGTTTACCTGCTTGTACCTCGTCACATATGCACATCATGCGTTGTGTAGCACAGAACATGATACCTATTCAAAATACAACTTCAAATTTCCTTCATTGCAGAGAGTTCTCCCTATCTAAATCCTAAATTGACAGCTCAAGATTCTATAAGACATGCCATACCCGAGCCAGCTAAGCCATGACGTAAAAAAAAGGCTTCTATCATGTTGCCGAAATCTATACAAGACATGGGTTGTTTTTTTCCCTCCATGTCATTCAGATATGCATTGAAAAAGGAAAGGAATTGTGTCCTTCTTATCCGAGGTGTGCCAGAAAAAAAATCGTTCTGAAGACAGTGCAAGTACGCGACAATAGCCGGACTGGGACAAGCCGTTTATAGAAGAGGGTTAGAGCGGTATTCGGGAACGATTCCGTTGGTCTGCGACTTCTCGGCTTGGTTCTCGGTCTCGAGTTCGTTGCTGACGCTCTCGTCACGCTCGGCAAGCCACTTCTCAGCCTCGAGAGCAGCAATGCAGCCGGATCCTGCGCTGGTAATGGCCTGTCGGTATCGCTTGTCTTGAACGTCACCGGCAGCAAAGACACCCTCCACACTGGTAAGACCCTCGCCAGGCTTGGTGATCAGGTAGCCGTCCTCATCCATGTCGAGCTGTCCCTTGAATAGCGCGGTGGCTGGGTCGTGTCCTACAGCATAGAACAAACCCTTAGCCTCAAGTGTCTGCTCCTCCTGTGTCTGGTTGTTCTTGACCACCAAGTGTGTCATGAGGCCATTCTTCTTCTCCTCGCCCTTGATCTCAACACCGCTGGTGTTGAACATGACCTCGATCTTCGGGTGTGTTGTCAATCGGCGGGCGTTGGTTCGGCTAGCCCGTAGTTTGTCTCGTCGGACGAGGACAGTAACCTTTTTCGCCTTCTTAGTGAGGTATAGTGCCTCCTCTACTGCTGAATCTCCGCCTCCAATGACGACAAGGGGCTGGTCACGGAACATGGGCAGTGATCCATCGCAAACTGCGCATGCGGAGACACCGTTACCCCAGTACTTGTCCTCGCCCTTGAGGTCTAACCTCCTTGCCTTGGCACCGGTTGCAATGATCAGAGCATCGGCGGTATGTTCCTCCTCCTCAATTTCGACATCGTCACCCATAGGGTGTAGCCAGTACTTGAAAGGGCGTGCCTTCAGGTCAACCTTGGCAACGGTCTGGGAAATGATTTCGGTGCCACATGCTTCGGATTGTTCGCGCATTTGTTCCTACTTGATGTAAGTACTTGCTGGCGCACAAGATTTTTTGTGGCTAGCGACTGACCATGAGCTTTCCTCCGCCAATCTTTGTGAAGCCAGGGAAGTTCTCAACTTCGTCCGTGGTGGTCAACTGACCGCCTGCTGCGATACCGAGAGCCATAAAGCCCTCGTACATTACGGCTACACATTGTTAGTAGTGGATGAGATTGTTCAAAGATACAACATACGGTTCAGGTCAGCTCGCGCAGCATAGATGGCTGCGGTGTGGCCTGCTGGCCCAGAGCTACAAATGTTAGATCGGCGTCAAAAAAAAGTTGCCGCAACCAGTCGCAAACTCACCCAATAACTACAACACTGTTAGCTCTTGTTCCTGCCATATAAATTCAGGCATAACTTACTGACTAGTTTTGAATGCATGTTACGCGCTTGTACTTTTGAAAAACTTGAAGCAGTCGAGAGCCCCGCTACAGGTGATACGTGCTGGTTATGCGATGCGGCGGCAGCGACGGGCACGGAGAAAAGGGACAGAGATCGAGGCGAGGTGGCCCTTCGAAAGAGTGATGCGAACACTTTGGCGACGTTTGCGAAAACCCGCGGGTCGCGTGCAAGATCTGGTTGCGAGTGTGGGTCGTGTGCAGGATGATGGTGGGATGAGGTGTCAAAGTTGGACGACCCGTGTGTGTAGTGGCGTACAGAGTGTCTTGTATGAAAACAAGAAGACGAGGGAGAAGGGACTGGAAAGATGGTGTTTACACTAGCTCAGAAGATGCCGCAATTAGTGAGCGCTGGTTTGGTGGCTTCGGAAACTTTGCAATAGTCTGGACGATGGTGATGGGCCAAGGCGTAGTAGTGGGGTTGTCTGTATTATTCAGTCCTGCGCAAAACGGAGCTTAGTCAGTATTCGATTGCACCGGCCGAGGTTTCGCGCGCGCGCTATCAGAGTGAAGACTGTCGAAAAGAGATAACAGACAAGCACTATCTTCAAGGGAAGATGAAAGAGGATTGTTGTGACACGAGAAAAAAGTACGATCCTTGCCGCGGGTCCACGGCATGTGCACGTTGCCGTGCCTTGGATGGATTCTTAGAAATCCGATGGCGACTAGACCCACGTAGCCCTCAGCCGCGCAACTTTCGGTTTCTACAACCCTAACGCCATAAGACGGGGGGACCCGTGCTCCTCTACTAGGCTTCGGCACTCACGCGCTTGTCGGAGCCATCGGGCTATTTGCCCAGACAGGCCCTCTGGCTTGGGCGCACAAGTCGTGAGGTAATCACAGCCCATGACACTTCGTTCTCATCACGGTCTACTTTCTTTCTTAGTGTGGCGGCCGTGCTGACGACCTCTATCATTATCTCCGGAACAATTCTCTCGCACCACCTTAGCTAATCCTCCGCGCCTGGACGCTTCCTGAGGTTCTCGATGTTGTATAGTATGCCCCGAACACCATCGTCGTCTGCGCCCTGAATACTGCTATTCGCCGTGTTGCCACTCCGCTCAAAACTCTCCAACACTTTTGCAAGTTCTGCATCTTCCTGCCACAGGCCTCCGGGTTGGAGAGAGAAACACTGCAATTTAGGTACCTTTTTCATATTAGTAATGATTCACAAATACATGCAAGTAGGCCGCTTACATGGTCCTCACGTTTCTCCGTGGTTGAGCCTGGCTTGTTGACGTTGTCTATGGAGACTACAATCCGAACGGAACCTGTCGGATCCACAATCAAAGCAATGTCAAGCACGTTGCCATTCAATGAGATTTGGGATCCAGGCGTAGATCCTCCCACCGCCAAGCCGAATAGTGCTGGGACGCCTTCACACGCTACGAGGATACGCTCGGCCTGTCTCAAGTCAGATGTTGCGTTTCAAGAAAGTCGAACGGACAATGTACGCACATCATTTCCCTGGTTTGGCAAAGGCCATATGCCAGAGACGGCGACCTTGTAGCTTGTACGCTCCGAGTCCATCGGAGCCGCATTCCGCTTCTGGAGATGGCCAAAGGCGAGATCTCGGATGGTGAGCCTCTCCTTCAAAGAGCAGGTTTGCCAATCCCACACGAACAAATCGTCGTCTCCGCCACCAGAGACAAGAAGACCGGATGGCGTGAGACATAGTCTGCTTACAAAGGCCTCGTGGCCAAAGCAGAAGCCCTCGATAATGTGGGCTTGTGGTTGACCTCGTGAAATTCGGATATGTTCGTCACGGTCGGCAGTTATAATGTAACTCCGGCCATGCACATTTGCATAGGTGACATCTGTGAGCATGGAAACGTGTCCGATGAGGAGTTCATGCTTGAAGCGCATAGGCTCTTTAGACTTTGCGGGACCCTTTGCCTTTTGCTTGAGCTGCTCTTCTAGGGTTTTTCGATTTCTGCCAGAGTGAACCGTAAGAGTCGTAGCTGAGGGCATCCAGTCCTTTTGCTCTGGTTCGGCTGCAGGGGTATCACGCTGCTGCGCCAGATCGTCTTCTGGTGAGGGGAGGAGTGGCAGAGCATACACATCTCCGAATTTGTCCGCACACAAGATTGTTGTGTCGTCAGACGTGATGGTGATTGAAGAAGGCCTTCTCGACATGCATCTTTCCGGCATCAGCGCATGCACTGGACGATTGCCTGTCTTTCTTACCTATCACTCAATTGCTGTAGCCGACCCTGGGCGTCGGTTTCAAAGACTCGGATGCATTTGTCCTCGCCAGTAACCCCAATTAGGTACTTTCCATTATGCGATAGTATGAGGTCCGAAAAGTTGGACTTTTGTTCTTTTGGTTGTTCCAACTTGATCCTTTTGCCTGGGCGCTCCTCAGATTCGCTGTCCTGCTGCTCCTGCTGGTGTTAGTGACGTGTGCAAGGCCATACTATCCAACAGAACACTACAATGCAGCAAAATGGTTATGGGACATCACACATCATCTCACTCACTTCGGTCTGCGCTTCCTGTGCTGGCCACACTGATGTCGCTCCGTTACTAGACTGGACCACCAGCTTCGGTCCACTCGCGCCGAAGAGCACCCAGTCGCCTACATCTTTGGAGCTCCGCGCAACAAGACATTGGTAGGGTGCAGCCATGATGTTGCGACTAATACTGTCTCCGTCCAGGGTCGTCGTACTTTTTCTCTGCCTCTGTCTCTGAACGCGCTAGCGCGTTAGCGAGCAGGGGCCACCCACAGCCGGACAACCTCAATTTTCGCGCCCACGACGAACTTTCTCTCTCCAACAACACCCACAACCCAAACTAAGACCTTAAACATCCCTTTGCGTCACCGAACACAATGGGGGGCAAGAAAGAATCCAAGGCCGCTTACTTCGAGAAGCTCGATGTCCTCCTCAAGGAGTACAAGAGCATCTTCATCGTCACCGTCGACAATGTCTCGTCGCAGCAGATGCACGAGATCCGTCAGTCGCTCCGCGGTGAGGGTGTCGTCCTCATGGGCAAGAACACCATGGTCCGCCGTGCTCTGAAGGGTCTTATCGCCGACTACCCAGAGTACGAGCGCCTTCTTCCCCACGTCAAGGGTGCGTTTTCCCATGTACATACACCTCAATACTAGGCCATGGCGCTAACATTGGCATAGGCAACGTTGGTTTCGTCTTCACCAACGGCGACCTCAAGCAGATCCGTGACAAGATCCTCTCCAACCGTGTCGCTGCTCCCGCTCGTGCCGGTGCCGTCGCTCCCGGCGATGTGTACATTCCCGCCGGAAACACGTAAGAATATCTATGGCACACACACACCGTGAATGCTTAATTAACAACCCGACAGTGGTATGGAACCCGGAAAGACCTCTTTCTTCCAGGCTCTCGGTGTCCCCACCAAGATTGCCCGTGGTACCATTGAAATCACCACCGACTTGAAGCTCATCGAGGCCGGTAACAAGGTCGGAGCTTCCGAGGCTACTCTGCTCAACTTGTTGAACATCTCGCCCTTCACCTACGGTATGGGTATCTACCAGATCTACGACAACGGCCAGACCTTCGACGCCTCCGTCTTGGACATCAGCGAGGACCAGCTCCTTAAGACCTTCTCCACCGCCATCACCACCATTGCCACCATCTCCCTGGCTCTTAACTACCCCACCCTGCCTTCCGTCATGCACTCCGTTGTCAACTCTTACAAGAAGGTCCTCGCCGTCGCCGTTGAGACTGACTACGAGTGGGACGAGATCTCCGAGCTCAAGGATCGCATTGCCAACCCCGACAAGTACGCCTCCGCTGCCCCAGCTGGCGGTGCTGCTGCTTCTTCCAGCGCCCCTGCCGCCAAGGAGGAGGCCAAGGAGGAGGAGAAGGAGGAGTCCGAGGATGAGGACATGGGCTTCGGTCTTTTCGACTAAGCTTATAACGTTTGCGATGGCATTTCTTGAGAGATATCGGCACGGCTACGGCCTGCCGATCATGTCTTGATGATTTAGACAGTCAACGACAATACGATAAGATGAACTCAGCAACAGAAAAGAATGACCGTGATGCTCACAAAGCAACGGTGCCCAATTCAATGTCAGGTAAGCTCAACTCCCCGTTTATACACCCTGCTATGATTATTTTCTTTTTAACCCTGAGATCCTACGGTGAGGATCAAAAATACAACAACAACACTCTAATTTTTTAATGAGCAACCCGTTCCACTTTTCTGTTATCAGCTTATGTTGCCAATCTTAATGCTGACTCGGAAACAGATTTACAGTCGTACACTTGGCACTACATTTTGTCTATGTGATGACCACCCAATGCAGATCATGCGATGCTAACAAGGTTTCCTGCTCTTTCAAGATCTATGCGCAACCAAAAGCACTTCCAGAGCGCCTTACCCCCTAAGCTTCTGCAGACACTCTCGCTTTGTATATTCCCCGTGTAAACATCTGCATGTGACCAAGAATCGCCGTTGACGTCGACTGCTAGCCCTCGTGCGTGCTCTTTGAAAAGCCTTGTCGCGACAGCCTTTGCTATTCCTTTGCCTCTATAGGCCTCTCCTGTATGTAGCGTAACCAGAGACCCATCCAATCCAAGAAACGTCCATGCCACTGGCATGTCCGTCTCTTCTTCAAAGACACCCACGCTCTTCAGTGACATCAAAGTGCTACGTGTGCGAGGTATAGATGTTCTTGCTTGGACTGTTCCAATATCCTGTTCGCGTATCTCACCCCATCGCAACCTAGCAGGTAGCTCTCGAGTTTCTGGTAGATCGGAATGCTTGAACAAAAACTTGTTGAGCTCAGCATCTGGACCTGGCAGCTCCGTACGTACAACGCCTGCTTCGTGCAGAATCTGAAGCACATCACGCTGGCATGCTCCTACGGTGATGGCTTTGGGGAGAAGCAGATGGCGCATATACGTCCCTGGCGCAGATTCATAAGCGCCTGAAGGTGGCGGGGTTGGATGTTCTCGTTCATGCTGCTTCGCAAGGTCCATCGCGGGAAGATTGTCGGGACGCATTAGAGGTGTAGGCAATGTAGACATGTAATCCACCAAAGCCAACACGGCTTTTTTGCACTCTCCGCAGTACTTCCCACCACCATCTCCGGTTGAAGAAGAAGTGGTTGAAGGTTGATGGTGAGGTAGCTCAAGGGTGCTAAAGATCCATAGCTCGGTTTCTGGTCGCATAGACCGGTCCAGGTAAGCTGCTGCCCAGCATTCCGGTACTGTTGCTTCTGGCGACGTTGATTCGGGGAACGTAGCGAGTATGTGCGCGTGGGCTGTCCGGTTGGGATGTTGCGTGCGATATACCAAGTTGATGCTGTAGGGCAAGGCGGATTTTAGAGCCCGTTGGAGACCAGGCGAGGTGGCGGAGTGGGCGTGGACTTGCATGCTTAGCAATGCAGTTCTTTTACAGAGGTCGTTTTTCAAAATCATCGCTAGATTCGCCGTAGCACTTATTAGGAGTTCTTACTAATATTACCTACCTTTATTAGGCTAATATGTTTATCTTCAGAGTAACCTTTTTTTCTTAGACTCTAGCCTTAAAAGAGGCAATAAGAATCGTAAACAATCTTAGAAAGCAGGTATATATAAAGAATAGTACATTGAGTTTATTAAGGTACTCTTTTAGTATTAAGAGAATATTAAAATATAAAGGAAAATGAGAGACAAATAATACATTTGTACTACGGTCACACTTGTCGGCACAAACTTCTAACTAAGCGCTGCCAACCTAGCGATAAAATCTAAAAGCGATCTCTGTACCTACGTATTATTTATTTATACTCAGGGTGTTGAGGCGTGCCATAATGTTCGGGTGGGCATGATCCGAATCCGGGCACACTGCGCATGGGCACATTATCCAATACTTAGTCGACTCGCTTATGAACCGCGTTATCCCTGTATTCCGATTACTTCTAGTCCTAGTACTACTTCCTTGTCCTAACATTAGTGACTTGAGTTGTTCGCTGCGAAGTCCTTGTTGTTATATTTCCTGGGTGGGATCACTCATGTTATAACTAGTCTTGGCGGTATGCTCATCACATGATCATCCCCCCACGGTGATCATTACCTTCTGTACCTTGCTAGAGAGAGAATATTTCTTGTTACTTATGGAAAATACTAGGTAGAGACTATGAATCCTTAGAGACCTTCAGATTGACGCCATTTTTCGATGCGGTCGTAGAAGTCCTGGCTGCCAAGTCCCCATGGCGCAGCTCTTGCAAGCTTTTGTTGAATCGTTGGATCTGTGATACTCTTCGCATAGTTGTTGTAATTTCCTGGGGTGCATGGTGAAAGGGCAGCAAACCAGGCCGCCATACTGGCACTCTCGTTCGCCCATTCTTCTTCTGCGTCACGCGATGGCTCAATTGCGAACGCATCAGTTTTCGTTGCTTTGCGCGCTGATTGTATATAGTATGCCACGTTTCTTGCGTGGTTGTCCAAAACGTAAGATACGTTGCCTATCGTTATTCAGCATCCTATGACAATGCAAAAGTGGTTGGACTTACAAGCATTGCCAGTCTGGCTCAATCCACCGAAGAAAAAATTGGGAAAATCGTGTGTGCAACATCCATGTAAAGTTACCGGTCCCTTTTCATCCCATTTGTCGTTTATATTAAGCCCATTTCGCCCGAACACTTCGATATTGCAGCTCCGTGATGGCGTGCCTACACCCTCTGCAGGCGTGGATCGAAAACCAGTGCTGAGTATAAGCAGATCAACCTCATGCTCAATACCATTGACAATGAGTCCATGCTCTGTGATACTCTCCACGCCAAATCCCGATGTCTCAATCAGCTCGACATTTGGCCGATTAAAGGATTCCAGGTACTCGTCGTGAAAGGTTGGTCGTTTGCAATAGGTTGGATACCACGATTTAAGTTTCTCTGCCGTTGTCTTATCACGAACGACGTTATCGACACGTTCTCTTAATCTTTGTGCTCTTGGAAAGTCAATAGCATTAAGCTCAGCAATATGGGTTTCGACTCCTTCCGGTGAGATTTTCCCTTTGCAAGCCGATCCTATCACCGCGCTAAAGCTTGGCATTTGGCACCAACCATCGCGGACCAGATCCACTTGAAGCGGCTCCCCTCTTAGAAAGTGGTTGAAGTTGTGTATTCTTTCTCTCTGCCACCCCTTCTGTGCTGTAATTTGTTTCCATTCGTCTGGGTCAGTCTTCCGCTGGCCACGAACATCGCACGATGTCGGCGTGCGCTGGAACACTAGGAGATGCTTGGACCACTTCGCAAGTTCTGGCACGACTTGAATAGCTGTAGGCCCAGTCCCAATAATTCCAACTCTTTTGTCTCTTAGTTTCTCCATTTTCTGCTCTGTAGGTGTACCGCCTGTGAAGTCATACCTCCATCTGGCCGAGTGAAATAATGGAATTTTTGTGGTCCTCAAGCCTTCAATATTTGGCACATGCGGCACGTTCAAGACACCGCCCGTAGTGATGACGAATCGAGACTTTAGCGTCAACGATCGACCTGATTGTGTAGGGCCTCTGTTCTCATAAATATGAGCTGTCCAATAGTGTGCTTCATCGTTCCATCTCATCTCAGTCACACGAGATCTGAACAATGCTTTGTCCTGTAGATCGAAGTGACTCGCTAGCCGGTTGGCATATTGCAGTAGCTCTGGACCATATGCATACTTATGCTGTGGCATGTACCCTGTCTCCTCTAGGAGTGGCATGTACATGTAACTTTCTACATCGCACATAAGTCCAGGATATCTGTTCCAGTACCAAGTCCCTCCAAAGCCACCTGCGTTATCTACGATCCGAATGTTTTCAGCCGAGATGCCAGCCTGAATCAGTCGTGCAGCAAATAGAAGACCGCCGTATCCAGCTCCCAAGATAAGTACATCGTAAAAACCACCGTCGCGAACAGGAGAATTAGAATTATTGAGTGCATCATGATCAACCCAGATGTCCTTGTTCAGATCAGACAGGTTTTCCACCGTATCCATGTCAAGGAATTATGCCCCGGCATCAGGTCTGATCCTTTTTTCGCGTTCAATTTTGTAACGATTTTCAATGGTGGGATCAGGTGTGCCTTGGGATTGCATTGGTTCACCCATCGTAAGAATATAGGGTTGAAATCGAGTATTGGTTGTTCTGAAAATTGTGAAGATGCACTTCTAGGAACCAAGAATAGTGTCATTTATATACTTCGAGGAATTGATCAACAATGCTTCGCCTCGGCTCGGATGCAATTAGATTCCGTTTGTTGTCTTGGACCTACTTAATTAATAACTAATTATTTAGTGACATATAGGACATATGTTCACTAAATACATTGTGACTAGAACGGACCCGCCCCCCTCCACAAACTAGCTAGACAAAAGTCATCAGACTTAGGCTCGAATAACTGTAGATCGGCAAACATAGTGCTGCATACATACCAATAGACGAAACGAAACACTACCTGCATGCTATCTAGGTGATATTGGCACCGGAACGGAAACAAAACTTCCCGTGATCGGCAGGGGCGAGACTGTTCCCCCGCGTAGCTTAAATTCATGTGCTTTTATAGCCCAACAAAAAACAATTAGCGTCATTTTACTATTTGCACAATGGCACCTGTTAACAACACACTGTGTCCTTTATTTCTTGCCAACAGCTTTTTGAACTCTACATTGCCATCTGTGCCAGAGTTCGATATATTGCCGTCCTGTGCAGGTTTGCCGCAAGGGTGTGCATGCGGGGTTTCTGACGATTCCAAGGCGAAAGACATATATGGCACTTTGAATTTACTTACTGAAGATGTTATACTCAGTGCAAAACAGGAGATCACCGAAGGAGTCTCCATCTCTTTAAGGTCAGTAGGCTCTACGCGTTTGCAGACACAATTTAACACTTGTTTCGCTAGAATTTAGACGGATTCAAGAGCTCGAATACAAACCGAAAACATCTGAACAATACGTTCGTAAGTTTGAAAGATGATGGCCTTGGTTCATTTGGCTGGGATAAGGAAATCAGCTTCAATACTCAGATTAGCAGTCACTGGGACAGCTTTTGTCATTATCCACACCAGGGAACTGGTATCGCATACAATAGCGCCTCATGTACACGGGAGCAGCTTGAGGGTACCACAACGAATTCTACCAAACCTCCAACTCTCGACCAATGGCAATTGAGAGGGGGGGTTGTCGGCCGTGGAGTTTTGCTTGACTACGCCAAATATGTGGAGTCCGAAGGTATTCAAGTATCCCCATTCACATACCACAGTATCACAGCACAGATACTTGAAGAAGTTGCAGACTTCCAAGGTACAGAACTTCGTGCTGGAGATATACTTGTCGTAAGGACCGGATACGTCGGCGCGCTCCCCAAACTGAACGAAACGGAGCAACGTAATGCCACGAGGAGCGCGGGAAGTATAGGACTAGAGCCCAGTTGCGATATGGCTCGTTGGATCTGGAATCATCAGTTTGCTGCAGTTGCTGGTGATAGCCCAGCTGTCGAGGCGTTTAATGCAAATCTTTCTTCTGGTACCTCAGAATTTCCAGGCTTGCGTAAGTATAACCCCAACAAATATTTCTCCTTTCACTAGCGGTATCTGTCAATAAGCACTGCATCACTGGTTCTTAACCATGTTCTGAATGCCCATTGGAGAGTACTGGGAACTCGACAAGCTGTCGGCACATTGCCACAAATCTGGGAAATATTCCTTCTTCCTGACCTCAATTCCTTTCAATGTTCCAAACATGATTGCCGGTCCTCCAAATGCATTGGCTATACTGTAAATAACATATTTCAAATGGATACTTGTAGTCAGACTAAGCAGAGAGCTCCAACTTTGTTTTCGGGCATTTTTCTTATCCGCCCAAGAGCACACAGATGCCAAGAATTCCATTGTCGATCTCACCTGTTTGGATATGACGCACAGGCTTTTGGCCTTGCAACGAAAGATTCATTGATTTACAGATAGCTGACACGAACTCCCATTAAGATCTACCGGCATTCTGTGTCACAACAACTAGCTTGTCTCTAAGCCTATAACGGAAGTTCTCCTTGCAATATAAGCGGCCCTATAATGCGGCCGTTTTCAACCATTGAGCACGTATGTAGAGTAATCTAGTCTAAATATCATTTAGATAGTAGTATAATACCAGGGTGGAGCGCGGATGTCCTTTGACCCGAGTTCCGGCTCTTGAACATTACTCAGACCGCTGTCTTATATCCCTTTATACTACGTATGCATCTTGGCACGCCCAAGACCCCAAGAGTAAATCCGTGCAAAGCGCGTATACGATGATACTCCCCTCAGTACTGGAGTATTGTTATTCGCTCGGAAACTTGGTCTGGAGCTTTCAATCCGTTGCCGAAGCACTACTTGAGCACGCGCCTGGTTACCTGTGGCACTTACATCTCTTTAGAACTATAGATTATATCCAGGGAAAGGTGCGTTGCACGTACAATTGAACGTCTGTCCATACATAACTTGGAAATTCCGGTGCAATGCTTACTCGGTATACAGGAGGAGAATCTATACAATAGAGACGATACTGGCATCCGGATTGGTATCTCGAAGAGGCAGGCTATCTATACGCAACATGGCGAGCCCTGGGGTATATCGGTATTGATTGTATACTCTTGTAATGTGAAGCCATCTACTGAAATTCTAGTGTATCTATTGCTAAGAAAGCTTGTAATCAACTTGACTGTCTTTTTATCTACTCTTCGCTTCCGTGAGTTGTGGAGCAGTCGTGGGTGCGAGACGTTATCGAAGGCGCCTGAGATATTGAGCAGTAAAATACTCGCTACAGGTGGCTAATTCGTCGAGCAAAAACAGCATCTATAGCTTTGCTAGCTGTGTTGAGCAGCGCGATCGGCTAGTATGCTTTAGGTACGGTGTAGTTGTCTTTACCTAGTAGTGTAAACTAGCTAAGAACGGGACCATCCGCTTACCGGCGGGAACTAGAAGTAGTTAGATGAGTGGCTAGCGAATCGCCGCTGACGTATGTTTTTGTATGTCATCGTATTTCCAATTTGTATCATGTGATCGGAGCTGCCTATTTTTGTCCTATGTATAAGTCTTTGTTTTTTTAGTACACTGTAAGATTGATAGCAGGGAGGATTCAAAACGCGAGTGAAACGCGTGTATTCTATATTCTAATGTCTATGTGTAAAGGAGCGTCGAATCTATTGTAAAAGCAAACTCTCCAAGCCGCATCCCCAAATTACATCCTAATAGTGCCACCAGAGAATTGAAGAAAACCAGAAAAACAATTCAAAACAGTCGTAAAGAAGCTCATCCATCACCTTCCATACCCCTAACCTCCATGTACTTGTCTACTCTCTCTTGGTGTGCCTTAAGCCCTAGATTCCGCCCACAATCTAAGACCTGGTGCAAGAGAACTGGAATCCGTTGAGCCAAGTGCGAACAGGCTTAGTGATATCGTCATCCAGTTGGACAAAGTTCTTTGAGCGGCCATCGAGCTCAATGATCCAGCTGGGGATGTTGAGGTTGGCAAGCTTGCACTTGGTGGTGTCCTCGAACTTGACGAGCTGAGCCGAAGTGCCAAGGATGTCGCCATTGCCAGTGTCGAGGGCGCTACCGGCGAAGCGGGAGGGGATGGTGACAGGGGTTCCATCGGCGGGGATGGTGGTGTCGGCGTTGGCGCCGGTTAGGTCGTCGAAGATGCGGAGGGTGACTTGGGGGATGGGCTGGGGGATGGAAGCTGCGGAGGCAGTCATGGCCATGATGGCAGTAGCGGCGATGGTGGTGGTGAACTGCATTTTGATGGTTTGGGGTGTTGGTTTGGTGGTTTGAAAGTTGGCGAGTATGGTAGAAGGAGATTGTAGAAGTTTTGGTTGGAAGATGGTGTTGCTGTTGTTGTGATTGTTGTTGTTGTGATGATGGACTTCTAGGTCGAGAAGACGGCATGATTTATACCATGGTCAATTGATCCTTTCATCGAGTGCATCTCATCACCGAGCCGTGGTTGTAACACTGCCTGGCTGAAACTATTCGCAGACATGCTCGGTGAGTAGTAGTGCCGCAGCCACCGCCCTTGCTCAGCATCATCTCAGAAGTCATCGCCAAAATACTCACGATGTTGCATTCAGCCTAGTGCCAGCCATCATGAGATGTTCCTCCAGCAAAGTATTTTCTACTCTCGGTCAAGTCTGTGGCTCAGTCTTGCTACAGCTTGTGGGGCGTTACATTGGAGCTTACAAACAATCTGCTCGTGGCTTGCGTCGGTCACAAAATTGCTGTGCCTGACATATGGACCGGGATTTTTCCAGCAAGAGAATGCGGTTAGGTTCGCCGCAGGGCGTGATCAGATGGCGGTGATGGGAGGGAGAGCTGACGGTTTGCTGACGGTCTTGGCTTGTGCTGGCACGGCACAGCCCTGGTCGCGCTCCACCGTCAGCAAAGGTTAAAATACTAGGGCGCCCTAGAGGCTGAGTTCGCAATGGTGTGGCAATAATTTTAGAATCTGGGGTACCGCCCGTTATGCACACCATTCTTGTGCGCATGTTGTAGTGCGGTGTGTCTTACGCAAAATACTACATGCGCTCGTGATATTGACACATACTGACCGCCAACTCTCAGCTTCCAGTAAGATTGCAGATGAATGGTAAACATTAGTCTACCTGATCCTTTGAAGGAGGCGGTGATTCCAGCAGCTATGCTCAGCGCACGACTACGCTTTCAGCACCATCCTCATGGGTCGATAATCCAGTAAACACACCTGAAAATGACAGGATGCCGAGTTTTTCTCAGGCCTCTATAACGCACTCTGTCATCTGAGACATTTTATTCGACCATGGTATGCCTACTTGACGTATGGTAAGGGTCGCCCACTTTCTGTACATTTCATTGGAAAGTCATATCCCAACAAGGGCAATGTTGGTCTTGGAAGAAGCCGGATATGTTTATTACCTTCTCGTTCAATTAACGCTTCATGACGAACCGCTCTGCGAAATATATTGATAGGTGATACCAAACTAGGCGTACACACTGTGTTCTTGTTCAGACGCAATCATCTACAATTCTCTACCTCACTCCATCTGACTCCAGATAAACAATTCCGTATCCAATTTTTTCTCTTCCACTGTCACTATCTAGTACTATCCATCTAATCTACACATCTCCTTGCCAATCAATCTACCAAACATCCTCACAACACTTCCCCTCCCCACTCTACACCACAGCCTCCCTAACCACCCCATCAGCAAACCACCTCCCCTCAAACACCTCCTGCAACACTCTCAACTTGGAGAAGAAAACATCATTATCTACATACGCGCCTTTAAGCCAGCGCTCCCCCTTTGACGCATCAAACGCCCTTCGCGCATGCAGCACCCTCCTATTATCGAAAATGACGCACTCGCCCTCATTCAATCGGTACTCGTACAAGTTATCTGGAGAAGAGAGCAACTTCTCGTAGGCATGGGCGGCAGCAACGTATGAGCGGAGAGAAGGCGTAGCGCTACTACCATGAGGCATTTGGACGGGGGCTTGAAAAGGTGGAGACCAGTTTATGCGGCGGATAGTGCTGCTGGTGATTTCTGTGCCTTTAGGGCAGGGGAACGTCTCGATTACTGGGCGGGTGAAGTGGTAGTGGTTTGGCAGCTGGTGGCAGTGGTATGTAACGGGAAAGTTGCACAGTGTGTTGAAGTGGTCCACTGATTGCTCGCGGAGTTGATGGGCAGCGGCAAAGGCGTCAGAGAAGAAGGATTCACCGCCTGGAGTGCGGGCGCGCAGTGAGTGGAGGAGTTGAAGGTGCGGCGGGTTGGCCGTGTACAAGAGATCCATGTGGAGACCGAGGTAGTCGGGAGTGTAGGCAATGTTTTCGGCTTTGGGCTTGGAGCGAACATCCCATGTGCGGCCGTAGAAAGTGTCCTTGAGAGTTCCCACGCGGGAAGCAAGAGAGACGACGGATTCTTCTGAATCAGGCACGTTGCTGATGAAAAGGAGACCGTATCTATGGAGGTGGGTGAGTGCTTCGAAGAGAGTCTCATCTCGAGACATGTAAGCATCGTAGTCAAGCCATTTGTTAGCCTTTGTTATCTCCTTGCCATCCCAGAATACTCGGTCATCGTATCGTACGCCGCTGCTTGTCTGGGCCTCTGTGTTGAATGCCTGGCGGAGCCAATTAATGGAGTGCCGGGTGCGATGCTCCGGGCCAAACCCCTTGACGTCGCTGTCCCATTGCACTTCAATTGAGTCTCCTTTTTTATCGTCGACAACGGACCTGGCGCTACCTTTTATATCTACTGGAATGTCTGAGGTCTGGAAAAGCCTATTGTTGCTATACTGGTCCACGCAGCGCACACAAGTACAACTATCGCGCAGGAATGCAGCGTCAAAAACCCTGGCCTGTCCGTCGATATTCACCGAGATGCTTTCTGCTGGAGCACCTGCTGATAGATCTTGGACTGGGTTCCCCTGCTCTTCAGCCCATTCCACCTGGCGTAGCTGTGGTTGCTGTTGCCGTGGTCTGGTTGGCCTGAAGGGGCCATGGGTAGCGGGGCTCCGATTAGCATGCTCGGCGGGATTCGGTGATCGCCAGCACGAATGGAAGCGGAGGCTCCGTCCTTGGACTGCAGCGCGTGTCTTGCAGGCGTTTGTTACTTGTAGTCTCAGATGACGTGAAGGAAGCTTGGAGATGATGTTGGAAGTCATGGTCGGTCGATCGGTCGGTCGCAGCTGGTGAGTACCAATAGCAACAAAACGAGGCGGGGTCTGCTTCTTTTCTGTCGCGCGAGCTTGGAGGGAATGTGGGAATCAAACGCGCCATTGACCGAGGTCATCACACACCCTCTGCCCGGCAGCCTCAGCATCCATTCCTCCTGCATACCGAGGATCTGTTGAGGACATACAATCGCGCCCCAATCCCCAGCACGTGTGTCGACTGACGCACTGGGCGCATGTCTGAGGGTGTAGCGCAGTTGAAGCATGAGGTACCATTCAACGGCCTCGACCGTTTGGAGACGCAAAGGACGCGGGGCTAATATATCTCGCAGGGCTCCCAGCGGCAAGTGGTGATTGCAGGTGCAGTTGCAGGTTTAGTCTCACGGTATTCTTCATCCTTTGGCCTCATCATCATCAACATGGCTGACATGTGAGCAGCTTTGTGATCGCGCCCCTCGACGTCATCAAGATCCGCCTGCAGCTTCAAATCCACTCCCTGTCCGACCCCTTCAGCGTCCGCCATGTCCAGGGCCCTGTGTACAAGGGAACGCTGGGCACCCTCAAGCAGATTCTGCGCGAAGAGGGCCTCACTGGCCTGTGGAAGGGCAACATACCTGCCGAGCTCATGTACTTGACCTACGGCAGCGTCCAGTTCTCGGCCTATACATACGTCTCGCACATACTCGAGGCGCTTCCTCCACCCTACACCCTGCCCGGTTCGGTGAACAACTTCATCAGTGGCGCTTCGGCTGGTGCTGCCGCGACGACGCTCACATATCCGCTCGATCTACTCCGCACGCGTTTTGCTGCTCAGGGAACCGAGCGCGTATACACGTCCCTCGTCGCTTCCCTAAGGCACATTGCGCAGCATGAAGGACCCACTGGCTTCTTCCGCGGTCTTGGGGCCGGTGTCAGCCAGATTGTCCCGTACATGGGCCTCTTCTTTGCCAGCTACGAGAGTTTGAAGCCAATTACCGCCGCCTCTCCAATCCACCTGCCGCTTGGGAGTTCAGATGCTGTAGCAGGTGTCATGGCAAGTATCCTTTCCAAGACCGCTGTCTACCCGCTCGATACGACGCGCAAGCGACTGCAAGTCCAAGGCCCGACCCGAGAGCGCTACGTCCACCGGAACATACCTACCTATACCGGTGTGGTTAGCACCTTGGCCCATATCTGGAAACACGAAGGAAGGCGGGGTATGTATCGCGGCCTGACTGTCAGTCTGCTCAAAGCGGCGCCAGCCAGCGCCGTCACTATGTGGACGTACGAAAGAGTAATGGGCGCTATGTTGGCTTTCGACAAGGAACACAAGGATTAAAGTGTATATATAATATTTTGTAGTATGGCTCGTCTCTGCTTTCCAAGATACCAAATTCGCAAACGTTGCAAGATTTAGTCATTGCCGTGTTCTTCTGATAGCGCTTCATATCTTTCCATCAGTCGCTGATCTCGTGAGGCGAGTTCAAAGATTTATAACTTCCCTCAGTCGTAGCCTCTTGTCGGGCGCCAAGGAATTGATCACACAGCAACCGCATCCTCTAAGCAGATCTTTGCCTCTGCATACTAGGGCCGAGACTACAGCAGGAGTGCGCAGTCTTGTGTGCTGTGCTGGAGCAGTCTGACTGTCTGCTTCGACTTCCCTTACGGTTCGGGATCTGTGTTCAATGAGAGAGATCATCTGCTATGGTAGATACCAGCGATGACAAAGTATCCACAGAAACCAACGGAGACCAGATTTAATCCTTTCTTCCAGGATCAAAGATATATAGCAACCCAGAAGTCAAACCCCTTCCACAATCCCCTTCTTTACACAGCAGCTTCCTTCTTCTTCCTCGAATACAACACAGCCTTGTGCCGTCGCTCCTCAAACCCTGCACTCTCCCCCTTATGCCCTTCCATCCAGCAATTCTGGCAGTATAGATCGTTATCGCAGCCTAGACACTTGAGTGTCGCGTCATCTTGGCATATGATGCACCACGTGTCGATTTCCTCGTCAATCTTCTTTTGCAGGTTAGTTGAGGCGGGAGGTTTCTTGGTGGGAGCGAAGGATGGTGCGGAGGGGAGGCCAAGAGCGTCTGTTTGGGATGAGGGGGAGGGTGCGGCGAGGGCGGCTAGGCGGGCGGTGAAGTCGTCCTCTATGGCTTGTGTGTTGTCGGGTTTGGGTAGGTCTTGGGGTGCAGAAGGGAGACTCAGGTCGGTATCTGTGGTTTCGTTGCGAAGTTTCTGGTCTTCCGACTCTGACTTGTCGTCTTCTGATGCTGGGGAGGGAGGGTCGTATTTTTTGCTAATCTCAAGCTCAGCCATGACTCTTGCGATGATGTCGTCAGCCTCGTCGTCTTCAGTTTTCTTTTTGCCTTCTTCGTCCACTTCTTCGTCACTGTCTTGCTTTGCACCGACTTCTCCACTACCGACGTTGACTTCTATGCTCTCCCAATCCTTCAGCCCCTCTGTTTTACCCTGATTGCCTTGCTCTTGCGTACGACTATTCACCACTTCTGGTAATATCTTGCGCATATCTTTCAGTAGCTTCCCTACATCTTGCTGCTCCTCCTTGGACACATCCCATTCCTTTCTGTCTCCGATGGTGCCATTCAATTCACCCAACAGCTCTTCCAGGCTCTTCTCGTCTTCATCATTAAACTCAATATTCGAGCCACCTATACCCTGAGATATCCCCTCTAGATAATTCGATGCACCCGGTGCCACAGTAGGCGCGCGAATATTACTTGTGGACGCTGTTCGTGATGGCTGTGGAGAGCCCGCCGGCGACGCGGAGCCTAGACGCGCAAATCGTACCGCAAGATCATCGGTAGGTTTAGGAGATTCTGCGGGCGCTATCGACGCGTTGTAGTTGGTGTCTAAGCTGACGGAGGACTTCTTGAGTGCATTAAGGCGAGCGAGGAGATCATCGTCGGTAGAATTGAGATCGGGCATTATCAATCAAACACGAAGGTGGTATTTGGACTGAAAGGTCAAACAGAGACAGTGGTTGTTCCAAGAAAGTTGAGCTATGACGGCGTGCTGCATGGAAGCTTTGAGTTTCGGGAATGTGTGGAGTTGCCGCGACCATCTTGGTTGGACATGGCGGGGGAGGGGCACGCTATGCTTTAGAGCGCGGGCAGTCCCAGATGGATACAATTCCTCAAAGTTAGATTCATTAGTTTCCAGAATGATTAATCATTACTAAAGGCCTCTTGAGCATTTGTAAAAACAATCGTGTTAGCTCGGTACTCCCACAATCGCATCATATCTTCACATGTCGATGTCAGCCGGTCCGACTGTCGTCATACCCGCCGCTCCTAGCATCTGAACCTACCCTACAATTGCGTGCTTTTTCCACCATATATATCACCACCTCGACTTCTCCATTGTCCTACAAACCTCCCTTCTCCCATCCAGCCCGAAAAAACAGACATAGCAAATCGCACCCGCAACAATGGCTCTCGCACCCAAATTCGCAGGCCAAAAGCTCGCCTCTTCCTCCATCCAGCCCAAAGCCGTCCACACCCTCGAGCTCTGTTTGTCTTCCCCTTCCCTCTCTCCCCCTCCTCCTTCCCATAGTCCTAACAATCAAACTCAACAGACCTCGACTACGTCTGCCCCTTCTCCGCCAAGATGTACAAAACCCTCTTCACCCCTCCCCTGCGCAATACGCTCCTTTCCACCTACGCCACAAGCCTCGTCACCATCTTCCGGCAGCAAATCCAACCCTGGCACCCCTCCTCGACCCTCGTCCACGAAGCCGCATACGCCGTCCAACGCGTCGACGCCAGCAAATTCTACGACTTCTCAGAGAAGCTGTTTGAGCAGCAAAAGGACTTCTTCGACGTGAGTCTCGTGAATGAGACGAGGAATCAGACGTATAAGCGGTTGGCCAAGATAGCAGCGAGTGTGGGGGTAGATGAGGGCAAAGTGTATGGGTTGCTGGAGATTAGCGATAAGCCTGGTGAGGATGGGAGTTTGAATTCGGGGAATGGGGTGACGGATGATGTCAAGGTGCAGGTTAAGGCGAATCGACTGACGGGGGTGCATGTGACGCCAACGGTCGTGTTTGATGGAGTTGTGCGGAATGAGATTAGTAGTAGTTGGACGGTGGAGCAGTGGGAGGAGTGGTTGGCGAAGAATGTTAGTAAATGACTAGTCAATGAGGAAGGCAAGAAGAACAGAAGGTTCGAAAGCAGGATATAATATAAAAGTTGGAAGCTAAGAAAAAAGAAGACTCTCACGTATACACATACAAAAATGGATATAGGTAGATGAGCTGGGTTATCATCCTGAACACCAATCAAACACCAGCTCCAAAAGAACGCAAAAGGGAAGTGCTATGCTGTGCACGTAGGCCATGTGTTGTACGCCAGTCCGCTTTCCCCCATGTGTGCGATGCGAAGATCATTAAGCAAAATCAATCGCGTCACAGTCAGACCATCCAAGCCCGCAACGCCGAGGACACAACAGTTCCACCAAATCTCCAACGAGACACCAACCCGTGGAAGTTAGTACGCGAACCCGTCTGCGCCCTCCATGTCCACATCCTCGCCTTCAGCCACCTTCCTAGGCTCTTCCATGTCCTTCTTGAACGCCGTCTTCTTGGCATCCACCTCATCGCGACTCAGATCCTTCATCCAACTATTGTTCCTCACAAGAATCTCCTGGACCCTCTCTCTCCGATCGTCGTTGAGTCTCCTGTACTCCTCGCTGGGCTTTGGAACCGCCTCGCTGACACCTGCGCGCACGGCATCTGGTTGGAGGAAATACTGAACACCACCCGTACCAAATGGCTCGCTGTTGATAAATGTCATGATGTAGGCAGAAGGACTGATGGAAACAGTAATCTTGTCGTCATGCTGGACCTGATCAAACCGGTCTTCTTCGGAGAGAAGTTCGGCCTTTGCCAAACGCTTCTTAAGGTAAGGATAGTTGACGCGCGAGAGATCGACCTCCTCGGTAGGCTCGACAGCCATGTACGAGGCGACGTATGCCCGCCAGCGCTTGATCCGGTCCAGCGTGTTGAATTCAAAGGTAGGGTCATCCTTCTTGAACAGTCGGACATAAGCTTCCATCTTGGCGGGGTCCTGTTCCAAGATTAGTGTATTGTTGTCGACAACGGAACAGCCATTACTTACATAAGTAATGCGGTAGGTATCAGCATCTTTGGCGAACTTCTCAACAGCCTTTCGGTAGGCAATCTCGCTCTTGTGCGTGGTGGTATCGTTGACACGGTCCTTCCTAAAGAGGTTGTAGATATCAAGGCTCTTGTCCTTACTATCCTGGCTTACAATTGCAACAGCAAATCGAACCAACGAGCTGAGCAGCCTATCAAATGAGTACAGCTGCCAGCCAATCTGCAAGTAGTATCGACGTAATGTCTCCTCGATAAAGTTCATCTCCACGTCTCCGGTAATCTGGTCCTGGAACATGTCGAGAAGTTGCTGGTAGTAGTTTGCCGTAGGCGAAGTGTCCTTGAAAAAGTCTTCGGGTTGCTTGTCCAGCATCTTAAGTTTCTGTGCTGGCTTGGGCTCCTTGGCACGCATGATGAGCCTTTGCACTTCATCCTCGCTCTCCTTGAGCTTCAAAAGCCTCTCGTAAAGCATGACAAACATCCGGAAGAAGCAGTAGATTGAGGCATTGGCGTACATGTTGTACTCAACGCGGCGGTAAGGTTCTTCGTGCTCAAATTCCTTGTCACCAAAGGCAGTCGGAGTAGCGGCGTATTCCACCCAATGACTAGCTGGTCGGTCTGCACGCGGTATCGAGTTGGAACTATCGACAGCAGCATCCTCTTCCATAGAGTTGTCTGGTGTGCTGTCCCGGCTCGCTGAGGCGACGCTGTCCTCTTTGTCTTTCCGTGGCTTGCTGCGGGGATCAAGGACATCGCGGCGAAGGTCACCCTTCTTTGTCTTCAGCGAGCGCTGAGAGACGTCTTCATCTGGGGAGGGAGTGTCTTCGCCGGAATCATTGGGCGTATCACGCCCTGAAGTGTGTACCCGTTGCTCAAACTTGGCCGAATCGATGCCAAAGAAGAGGGGAACAAACTCCCTGACAAAAGGCACAACCTTTGCAAATTCAGCGCCTGGGTTGTTGTCGGCAAAAGTGAGCATCAAACGAGCCACGTCGAACAGCACTTCTTCATCCTTGAAAGAGAAGGCAAACTGATAGTCTGGCTGTGAAATTTCTTGAATCTGCTGGAGACGCTTTTGTTCCTCGTAGCGAACTTGGATCTCGTTTGTAAGCGACTTGGGTTGGAATTGTCGCTTGTCAACCTGCTTGACTGTGATGCTTTGGTGGTCAAGTGACTTCCAGAAGATCTTTTGAGTCTGATCGCGCCAGACCTTTTCCCATTCTCGTTGAGCGGCCTTCCAGTCTTCCAGCTTCGTCTTTAACCGGTGGAGAAGCACTGGGACTACGCTCCAAGGCATCTGGAAGAGCTCTTTGATAACGTCTTTGCCTCGGTCGCGACCATAGATCTTCATAATGACACGCTTGTAGATTGTCTCGCTCTGTCCGCCCAGTCCGGGAGGCAAAGTAAACCCAATCCTATCTTCGGGCTTCATTGTGAGCAACTGATTGGCGATAGGCTCGAGCTGCTGGATTGTGCGGCTACAAGCTTCAATGTTGAAGTCATAGTCATGGCGCTCTTCTTCAATCCTGTGAAGACCCTCTTCGAATGTGTTCTTGCGATGGGCGACGAATCCGGAATCTTCAGAAGCCCACGTTGGATGAGAGGCCCATTCGTCATTCAAGACAGACCGGCAAAGCTCGTCACGCCCGCTGCATACGCGCTCCCTTTCACGCCTAGGAAGAAGACGATAGCTAGGACCTAAGCTTCGGCAGTTGGATAATGAGACACGGGAATTGACTGTCTTGGGTCGCGAATTTTGCTGTTCTTCATCTTCACCCATGAACTTCTTGAACCATGCAAAAAGCTCTTGGTTGCCGCCAATGAAGGATTGCGCACGGTACAGGAGGAGTTGCTTGTCAATCAAATCCTGTGAGTAGAGATTGCAGAGCTTCAAGAACTCGTTCATGATGTTCTTGTTTCCGATAAACTTCTTGACGCGGTCAAAGAACGCAAGCTCATCTTGGCTAGGAGACGTCGTTGTTGTTGGCGGCATCGGCTCAGGGAGCGCAGGCGTCAAGGTAGGCGAGACTGGTGGACCATCTGGAATTGTCTGCTTTGTAGTATGTCCGGTCTTTGCACGCTTAAGTTGGTTAGCAGGCAAACTCTCGTCAGAAAATGAAAAACGTTTAGGGACTGCAGCAATCCTGGAACTGGATCTGCGTGGCCTGTTCCGCACATCGGAAAGAGATGGGGAAGGCCATTGCAACGTCAACGCGTCCGAACGACCGCTAGGCAAATGAAACCTGTCGCGGCCGCCACCATGCTTAACGACAACGCTTGACGTGGCAGCGCGCGTAATCATGAGTGGGAGTCAAAGTGGGCGCGACGTTTGAGAAAGGAAACGACAAGGAATTGACTGGAGGACGTTGGGGCTGTGCACGTGCATCTTGGAAAAAAGGAACCACCCAATGCCATGATCCCAGTCTTACCGATAAAAGTGCGAAAAGGGATTTACGTACCTTGTTAATATTTACCTGGCTGTAGCCACCGCGGACATTCGAGGTTGGAGGCTCTTGAGACATGGGCGCAGGCATGGGTGCAGCCACTGGTCCCTGTCGCTCACGCTTCCGCTTGTTGTCACGGTTCGCTGTGGGTGTGGGTGCGAAGTTGCCCATGGGAGGCAATCGCGAGGTATCCGCACGACCAGGTGTCTGTTGGTTCGCTGCGACTCCGTATCCTGATTCCCCTCTTACATTGCTGAGCATAACCGCATCTTCAGCAGCGTTCTTGGCAGCCTGTTGTTGTGCTCTATGGTGAGCGGCAGATTCTGGCAGAAACTGTTTGAAGTCTTCGAGAAGATCTGGCGCGCCACCGAACAGATGAGTGACTTGGGCGTACACGTCCTGGATAGGTTTCGATTCTCGTTGGTAGGTCTGGAGTATCTCCAAGAAATTCTTGTAGATATCAGGATGAGCCGCAAATCGATTCTGTGACATAGTTAGCGTCCGTGCCCGTGGATCCGCTTTGAAATGAGTGTTTATTTACCTTGATCTTGTTGACGTAGCTGATAGCATGATTGAACTCTACTGGTCCTCGCTTTTCAGCTGCAGCCCCACCCATTTGGGGAAGTTGAGCAGAGCCATTCATTGCTTGTCCTTGAGGGGTAGAAGCATCAACACTAGGCGACATGAGTGAACGACCAGTAGCAGCAGAAACAGCATTTTGCAGCTGCGAGACACCCCTTTGCTCTTGCTGGTGAGCTAGTGCGGCGGCCGAGCCAGCAGGGTCAGGATGGGGTCGCGAGGTAACTTCTGGTGAATGCTGTGGGTGACCCTGTTGTCCTTGCTGCGACCCATACAGAGGCTGTCCCAAAGTGCGGTTGTTTGGAGAAAACATTGTTTCTTGTCCGTCAGGTCCTTGGGGCCTTTGCTGCTGAGGCCAAGGCCGTCCTTGTGCAGTTTCGTAGTAAGTGCCTTCATGCTGTGGAGCGTTGTTGCCATTAGCGGCACCGCTTCGGGGCGGCGAAAGTGGCCTTGGAGCGGGCATAGTGGAAACCATAGTACCCATTGGCGTCGTAACTCGAATAGCATTTGGGTCTCCATTGGTGCCACACTCAATTTTGTAGCCGGGTGGGAGGAATGTGTTGAATCCTTGAATCAAGGCTGGATTGCCCGCAAACAGAGTTGATACCCTCTCGATAACGCCTGGAGTGTCAATCGCACCGCTCTTAAAGTCTTTCATAATATCGAGGAATCGATTGTAGACGTCTGGGTGATCGGCAAACTGCACCTTGACTTGGTCGAGATAGCTCAATGCGTCATTGAGAATCGGCTGCTGTCCCTGACCCATGGCCATGGATCCTGGAGGACCGGCAAAGGGCATCAGCATCTGAGCTTGAGTCGGCGCTTGCACCGCGTGCTGCATACGAGGCGTCGTCTGCTCGTGCTGCGCAGGCGCGTTGCCGTACATGGGGTTAGGTGCGTTTTGGTTGCCGCCCATTGGAGGGGCGAGTGAATTTGGCCCATTCATCTGCCCAGACTGCCCAAGCAAACCATTCGGACCGTGTATCGTTCGCGCGGAAGGGGCAACTGCAACAGGTTGATGGATCTGCATTGGCGTGGAGTGGTTTTGTAGCGCTGCGTGCTCGCGCTGCTGGCGCTCATGGAGCTCCCGATCCCGCTGCTCTGCCTCGCGCTTCACAATTTCTTCTTGCTGGTGCATAGGATGCGCCTCCATTTCCCTCTCCCTTGTTTCGCGCTCGCGCATTTCTCGTTCCCTGTCCGCATTCACTTGCTCCGAAGTCGGCAGATGCTGCTGCTGTTGCGATTGGGGCTGCGCTTGCGATTGCTGTTGCTGTTGTAGTGTTTGCGATATTCCTGGCAACGAGTATTGGGACCCCTGGGGACCTTGGTGACCTTGCGCTGCCGCGTCAGAAGAAGGTGGTCGCTGAGCGGACATGTGGGGCGACGAGTGCTGAGGTTGCGCACTCAATCCTGGAAGTGTAGGAAGGTTCTGATTGTGGGCTGTCGCGGCGCTTGAGGAGTAGTATCCACCACCTGTGATGAAATTAGTAGTTTGAAGAGAGGCGCGTTCTTTGCATGCGCTACCTACCGGATGGTGGAGGAAGTACCGGCCCTGGACCTTGCGCCGGTGACGCATGAGGTGGGGCCTGTGAATTCGCGTTGTTTGGCCTGTTGTCGATCTCAAAGTCAGCTTGATTCCAGTCGAATGATAGTAAAAAGGCGATTTTGGCAGCTTCTTCGCTCGTGACTGCCATGGTGGGTGGGACAAGTAGAAATTACGCACCCATAAGGTCCAAGAGGGCGTGGAGCTGGCGCTTGCCCTTGCGCTTGCTCTGTTTGTTGCTGGGTCTGCGCCGACACACCTGCCTGTGCCGGCGGCCACCCGTCTCGATGCGCTGGATTCATGTCGGCTTTACCAGGCTCGCCGGCTTTAAGCAGATTCGCGTGGCCGAGGAGATGAACGCGTTGGGATGGCTTGAGCGGGTTAGAAACTGGTGGAGCTCATGGACGGCTCGCGATGTTATGCAGGAGGGTGTCGGGGTTTGTAGGGTCTGAGACTAGATCTTGGGCGATCGTTGTTGATTAGGAGGAGCAGGGCAGCCCGAGCTGGTGCTATCGCCGGAGCTGCTCGGCGAGTCCGCCAGGAGAATATGGGACGATGCCGCGGGGATATGCGACAGTATTAAACGACTCAAAAAGGCGCGATCAAGCAGGGACGAGAGTAGTCGCGATGATGGAATGGTGGTGGCATCTGGTTTCTCTGTCAGGGACCGGCGGGATAACTGGTCGGCCCGAAGGCGGTCAGTGGCAGAAAACCAGCGCGTCATTCAGCCGAGCAACGCAACACTGCACGGTTACTATGGCTTGGGAGCCACTGATGATGCATGGTTGCACCCAACATTATTATTTTCAACATACACTCCTCACTATGTTTCTCACAATACACACATGTAGATAACCCTTTATCGCTCAAATCATTGTGCTGTATGGAAATAAGATTTCGACATGTGATTAGTCTGCTTTAGATGCTACCAATATTTACTAGAGGTTACCAATATACTGGGGGACTTTCCATCGCCCTCCCCCTAGCGACCAGCCATACGAATATACTCTCATTCGCAATATGATATCTCCTCTTTCCGAAGAAATGCGAACAATACAAACCACTGTGTATAATGCCCTTGACCTCAACATTTTCAACAGACGGAGCGTCACAGCTCTTACGAAGCCGACACAGCGCAGCAACAACGCCTTCGCAGCTGCTGAGAATATTCAATATAAAAAAACTCGTGATACTCATTAAAATGTCATCTCCATCTAGAAGATCCATTGGAAGCTCTCCCTGACCTCGAAGCTAACCTTTGCCCTGTATAAATCGTCAGTGTTCTGTTCGTTCCAGTAAAGTGTATGCTAAGGCAAAAAAAAACGTACCTGATATCAGCGCTGCTTGCGCCAATCAACACGTCAAACACTCCCTCTTCCGCAATCCAAGCACCAGTCTGGCCCAGACTTGTGTCAAAGTAGCCTACTGAATACTTGTTCAATTTCAAGACCACGTCCTTGGTCTCACCTGGTTGCAGGAACACCTTGCCGAAAGCTTGCAGTTCCTTTTCTGGGCGAGGGAGCGTGGACTTGACATCCTTGACGTACCCTTGGACAATTTCAGGGGCGGCTACCAAGCCCGTGTTAGTAACAGGTACAGTGATGGTGATTTCGTCGCTTTCAGACAGAACATCGCTGCTGACGCTTGGTGTTCCGTATTCGAAGCTGGTATAGGTGAGGCCATGGCCGAAGGGGAAAAGCGGTGCGATCTTGGATCTCTCGTAGTGTCTGTAGCCCACGTAGATGCCCTCTCCGTAGATCGTCTTTAGATTCTCACCAGGCCAGTTGTGGTAGGCTGGGTTGTCTTCGATTCGGACTGGGAAAGTCGTTGGCAGCTTGCCGCTAGGACTGCTGTTTCCAAGCAGAACATCTGCAAGCGCGTTTCCGGCCTCTTGACCTTGGTACCATGCCTGCAAGATTGCGGGGGCCTTGTGCACCCATGGCATAGTGACTGGTGTTCCAGACTGGTTGACAATGACTGTTCGGGGGTTAGCTGCGAGAACAGCTTCGATCAGACGGTCTTGAGAGCCGTTCTTTGGAAGGTCCATTGTTTGGCGATCGTATCCTTCTGACTCCCACTCTGCATCCAGCCCAATTACCACAACAGCGACGTCGGCATCGCGTGCAACATCTGCAGCTTCTTGCAGACGATCGATCTTGTCCTCTTCTTGATAGCCGATTCGGCAACCGCCATAGTCGTGACGTCGGCCAATAACGGAGACTTTCGAGGCGGGTCGTACTTCGCTAGTGCTCTCGATAAGGATCTCGACTGGCTTGCCTTCCTCTAGGTAAATCGACTTGAGGACATCCTCAGACGCTGAGAACATAGCCTCGCCTTCCTCGGTCCAATCCCAGTTATCAATAAACAACTCGCCGTTGATAAACATACGACCTGGTCCTACTGAAGCGAAACTGAAGCTGTGGTTTCCACTCGACTTCGGTGTGAGTGTAGTCTTGACCTTGAACGAAAAGTCCGGAAGTAACTCCATAGGCGCCGAATCCCATAGCCAGAGATCTGTGCTAACCTTGTGCTGAACAACAATAGGTTCGCCCTTGAACCTATCCCCCTTATAGTACTCCAGTCGTACACCAGTCTCGCCATTCGATTTGCAGTATGGAGAGGCCAGTGGCAGCCACTTTGAGCTGTCGCAACCTTGCGCAAATGAGAGCACACCATCAAATCGGTTCTGGAGGCCTTGCCAGGGTGTGACGTTATAGTAAGGGTTCAAGCCGGCGCTTCCTCCACCACTGGCAATCGCACGCTTGGCATTTGGTCCGATCATTGCAATCTTCTTCGCATCCTTAATCGGCAGGACGTTGTTCTCGTTCTTCAGTAACGTCAAACCTTCAATACCAGCTTGGAGAATCAGGTTCCGGGTTTCGATGTTATCGATGGACCGCTCCGGTTCTTCAGGTGTCATATTGTTGAGTCCTTTGACCCGATCGACAAGGTAAAGTACCCTAGCAGCGGATTCCTCAATGTCCTTGGGGGTTAGCTCACCATTGTCAAGACATTCCTTCACTTGCTCGAATTTGCGCCATTTGGATGGGCCTGGCATTTCAATGTCGACGCCGGCTTTGATTGAGGGCGCAGTTGCATATGTGCCTGTCCAGTCAGATATGATGGCTCCGTTCCACTTCCACTCGCCTCGGAGGACTTCCTTGATAGAATGAATGTACTCATCCGCATGAACACCATTGACCATGTTGTAGGAACTCATGAGTGCCCATGGTGATGCGTCTCGGACAGCAATTTCAAAAGGCTTGAGGTAGATTTCACGCAGCGGCCGCTCTGCAATGATGGCATCGTACGCTTGTCGCTCAGTCTCCTGCTCGTTTCCGAGAAAGTGCTTGATAGTAGCGGCGACGCCCTTGCTCTGAAGGCCACGAACATAGGAGGCAGCAAGCTTTCCGGTCAAGAAAGGATCCTCAGAATACGACTCAAAGTTGCGGCCTCCGAGAGGAGATCGGTGCATGCACACAGTGGGTGCAAGCAGCACCTGTGCACCACGAGCCTTTGCTTCTTCACCAAGATGACGGCCAACCTCTTCAATCATGTCCAAGTTCCACGTGGACGCCATGGATATGCCGCATGGAAATAGAGCAGCCTAGCTTCGTCAGCTTGAACCGGGTAACGCCAAGCCGGAGTACGTACAGGTGTGCCGTTAGTGAAGAACTCTCCGCGAGCGCCATTGGGTCCATCCGAAGTCTTGATTGACGGAATGCCCTTTTCAGGAATAGCCACAGTGCGCCAAAAGTCGGCTCCTGCAAGCAAAGAAATCTAAACAAGGTCAGCCTGACTTCGCTATAGGTCTCTTTCCGCCTCTTTCATATGTCGAAGAATATCAGACGGCATCTTGAGCCGGCATAAGATGCACTATGGTTGCATTGCCGAGCTCCATATAAAAAAATGCCGTAGTCGTTTGCTGCAGGCTCACAAAGAGCCCAAGAGCCTCAAACCGATTTGTGTGTATGGAAAGATGAAACCTTCACACAAACACCAGCACAGTTCAGAATAGCCAATAAAAATGCACCAAGTGCTCGTTTCTGATTCTCCGGCGATTTTTCAAGACAACACTAGCACAACGTACCTGTTCCTCCAAGGTCAGCTTGGCAGCAAGGTTCTTCGCCTTGTCATCAGGCCTCTCCATTGAAAATAGCTTTTTGCCCGCCATTGGTTCGTCGTCGGCTGGGGAAACGTCCTCGGGCGTTGCGGCAGGAGTCAAGAGAGGAGTGTCGAGGGTCAGAGGTTGGATCTGGATGGCCGGGTGCTTTAAGTCGATTTGCTTGATATCGTCTGTAGGGCTAGCGTTGCCCAGGTTAATTGTAGCCATTGTAGATCTCCTCAAAGGCTGAATTAAATAATTCGATAACTTCGGGATATCTGGGGCGGTTTGCCGCGCTTCTCGCCACGTGCAACCAGTGCGAGTGAAGCGAGCGATCAAATAAAATCAAAAGACGACGAAAGCGAAGGAATGGGATATGGAGATAAGGCTAGAGGTATGCGGTAGACTTCGAAGATGGTCAACTGAGGGACGTGGTCATCTTTTAGTACCCGCCGCAGCATTGTTAGTTGATCGTCTGCTACTCCAACGCATGGGCCCAGAAAGAGGACGCTGGAATGCCGGTTCAATTGGAAACAAGCCTTGTACCTTGCTACGGCTTGCACGTCTCAGATGACCAGCAACACGATTGGTTGCCGGCGGCAATCAACCAACGTTGAACGTACTTGGGCCCGCCTCGATCTGGACGTAGGCAGGGCGGGAGGCTCGTGTTGTGGTGTCAATCTAGAGCTTGCCGTGCGGCTGGTACTGGCGGCACCCGACGCTAGTATGCTGCAGAAGTCATTGTACCGCTGCAAAAGCTTTGCAAACCCCCCCACTGGCGGCTCGTATCTTGAGCAAGTATACAGCCCAGGTAGTTCCACGTACAAGCAGCGCAAGAACAGGTGACACGCGGGTGGAGCTCTGCCAATGCATGCCACGCAGAGGAAGCGATTTCCCCAGCCAGGGTCAGCAGCATCGAGATTGACTCTTTGCCTCCCTCTTTGTTAAATGGCGGTGATGGCGGTCCTGAACTTCCGAAACTAGGCTGGCAGGCAGTCGGAGAGCCGTCTGCAAGGCATTTTAGGCGGCCAAAGATGGCACAGCTG